AAAGCAATCAGCTTTGTATATGCTTCTTCGTGATTGCTCTTCATTCTTTCATCTATGACAACTTCATCTTCCGTCACTTTAGTGCAGTTATTTTCGTTTAAAAAGAGGACGTTCTTGCCTTATAACTAACTTTTGGCTTCTTTTATAGCTCTTTGAATTAATGTGCGTGGTTCTGTTTTCTCCATTCTGTAGAAAATAAATAAAATTGCAAGGAACTATCATGTCTGGACTGCAATGTTATGCAATGGCTCAATCTGGCCAAAACTGTGATTGGCTGCTTTTGACCAGTAAGAATGCGAAGCATGCTTTGAAGTCAAGAACTTTCTCTTTGATACCGCATGCACAACATCTTGGCTAAGTGAACCAGCAAGACGATTAACTCTTTCACTAGATTTGTGATGGCTTTCTTTTAATGATAATAACGCTTTAAAAAACACTCCCAACAATTTGGGACTTGTTGATGCTTCTCTAGATCCAAAGCTTTCAACAGTTGGAGACCATGAAAGAGACAATGTATCATCGACGAATATAAATATCAGTTCTCTCAAGATAAAAGCAACTCTTTTTACCGTGAACTCTTGAAAGAAGCCGGATTTTTTGGATAGTATTGGAGCACGAAGACATTCCTTTCTTATAACAACTTGCGGTATTTGGAGCTGCACCTGAACAAAAAGTTATTATCTCCATATAGCTTCGAAAGCTCTTTTAGCTTATATCGGGTCTGTTTGCTTTCAATTGTTCTATTGTACTCTACCATGATGGTCTCAATTGACAAGCACTGCTGACCTTCAAGAATATCATTTTCAATCAACGACGGTACTGCATCAAAGTGACCAAATGTTTCATCGTCGTCGTCAGTAGATGTTACTGTAGAGGCTTTTTGTCGAATAATCTTGGCGTAATCTAAATAGCATTTTTAAGACTTCAGAAACTCTTTAGCTATCAAATCGGTTTCTGAAACTGCAATAATTATGTCATAGTCGTCTCTTACCTTTGCAGATTCTTTCAAAGTACTCTCACCAGCTTCTGTAACAATCTTATATAGCGACTGTCGAATAACTTTCACTTTTGAAACCTTTTTCTTACATATCATACAAATGTCTGCCCCCTTGGCCTGGTCTTCTCCACGTGTAAACTTCGCTTCTTGTTTCATTCTCTTCGCCTTCCATTAACTTTCTCCTCATCAATGCTTTTGCATAAGTGAATCTCAGATAGCATCCTTGATCGTAGAATAACTCATCATGTTCAAAATGTTGTGCAAGGTTCTCGCTTTGCTCTTTGTGATAATTCTCTTCACCAAGGTTTTGGTGAATTACGCTTTACCCAATCAAATATTAAGATTAAAAAGCTTCCTTTAACGAGATTTTCGGACTTGCTTATTGATTCATAGTGAACGATACAAGTTCTTTTAGATGCCATTTAGCTGAAATGTTGATCGCAATCACCATTTCACAAAAACAATTTGAGGATCTTGAGACATACCATCAATAAACATGAATCGCAGGCATTGCAGTTTCATTTGCTTTCAGATAAGGTGTTTCAATTTGGTGTACTGTAATGTGATGCAATGTACGATACTTCGTTAGAGGTGGAGCCAAAAAGACCCCAAAAAGGCCTAAAAACATTATTTTTTAGAATCAGTACACCACAATAACCCTATTGCGCTAAATTTGGAAAAATTTCTTAATTGGGAGGAATCTTATCAAGCCACTTCTGTTCTTTTTGCGTGAAAACGAGATTTAAACATGGAATTGAGGCCAAACGGCCCCTTATACGTACTTATAATATCGAATTTTGGAATCAGCATCCTAAAATTATCTAGATCCAATGAATTTTAGATACTTCCCCTTAGGTTGGACCTTTAATAGAGGCTGAATGCCCCCAACTTGCCCGTATAACATCGATTTTCGGAATCAGCACCCCAAAATTACTCAAACCCACCTAATTAGAATTACTTCCCCGAGGGGGGACGCTACCCCCATTCTCCGCCTGGTCTATAGCCCAAAGCAACATGGTAAAGGCGCTGCACGTCCCCTAAATACAACGTCAAATACAACTTCATTTGTAAATGGCTTTGAAAGAAGCAAACATTTAGTAAACTAAAGCTTTTCGTCTGACACTCTTCAGAGTTTAAAACGTCAGATCATAGATCGAAAACTCTACGCTAAGAAATATATATACCTTATTGTGGATCGAAATAGGCCAATCAGAAACATGGGCACATGACTGTAAAGGTTGACCAATCAGTGCCGCTTGCCTATTAGAATGTTACCAGTGGAGTCCTAAGGTGAAACAACTTCATTTGTGCGAATATAGGTCTAGCCTAAAGCAGGGAAAACAAATTCTAATAACAGATGCTAAAAAGTGAAGGGTAACACCAGATACTATGTTGTATCAATAGGATTCTAATCCTAAGATCTGAAATGCTGTTCATGATGAAAGCCGTTTATGATGCTTATGATTAATTTATGATTTGCCTAATACTTTTGATAACAGAATAATTTATGCTCACTGAACACATTATGGAACGACAGATTTTTTTGATAGGTACAACCTTGGAGGTGGTGACGTTACTCTGAAGTCAGGCAGACGATTTGACGATGGACAGTGGCATCGTGTTTTGCTACTGAGGTATGTATTCACCTAACAACATTTATCATCATTTGTTTATAAAATTATCAGTCTTTTAGAGAAGAACAAATTAATTTTCACTATCTCATTTGGTTCTGCTATTCTTGCTGATAACAAAACGTAGCGGTTATTGTGAAAATCCTTATTTGCTGACAACTTACTAATTTTTGTTCATACTTCGTGATTTGTACCAGTTCACCGATGACTCTTATGAAGTGTGGCTTTCTATTATTGCAATCACTGGGAAGAAAAGGCTTTGTGCTTTGGCTTCATTTATCAAAGACAGTAAGAACTGTATCTGTACATATCTATGATTTTCCAAAAAAGTTTGCAAGGGCTTTTTTCTTTTCAAATATGCACTATTGTAGAGAGAGTGGAAATGGTGAAATGAGAATTGATGAAACATTAGTTGGCAATGCGAAGGCTGAAGGAAATTACATTATGCTAAATACGGATGGGGATTTGTACGTTGGTGAGTAATCATTGAGTTTGTTCGATTTGTATAGTTGTACAAATAGTTTACTGATCCAGACTAATCTTTTCCAAATCCAAACCCAATAGTCCTCATTATTGTTGCCCATATGCACCATAATTGTTGGTTTGAAAAAGAAAATTCTTCCAAAGCATATTTGTTAAAGAAAGAGTATTTTGCTTTTTAAGAACATTTCACCGAGGTATAGTAGCATTCACCCACCTAGGACGTTTGTAAATGCTTTCACGTGTGTTATTCATGCTTATATGGTCTTTATCGAGCACAATGATCTTGATAGCCTATTTGAAAATGGCTTTGAAAAAAGTAAATATTTTACATACTACAAGATCTTTCATCTGACACCTCCCAGGGTATAAAATGTCAGAATAAGGTTCAGAAAGAGCAAGATAAAAAATATATACCCAGTAGTGGATAATGTTTGCTTTTTTTGTAAAGACTTCATTTGTAAATGCTAGTCAAAAGCTAATTAGCCTTTTCTCTCTCAACCTTGAAAGGAGGTGCAGATGATATTTTCACTACAACTGGCTCGCGCCACCTTCACGGCCTGGACGGGTGCATACGCAACTTGAAATTTGGTGATCACTTAGTGGATTTGATTAAGGACGCAGAAAGTGGGCATCATGTTGCGCAGTGCACGTGAGGTTCTTTCGTAAAGGTAGATCAGTGCCAAATGATTGTTGGTCGGAAATAGCGAACGACACTAAACAGAAGCTTACAGAGCGAACACGCCGGTCCTTGATTCACTAACGGCTTCAATAGTCGTAGCCAATCATCAACTGCCTAACAAAGTTTCAGTTCTTTAGTTTTTGTGTCTCTCACAGAGAATAGTATGAGAGTTAAAATATCAGATGACGAGAGTTTCAGATGATGAGAAAGTGAAAATTCACAAATTATGAGATAAATGTATCGATGATGAATGATATTTAACACTTGTATAAATATATATATATTGAAATTAAATACATACAAAAAGGGCATTAAAAGAATTTGCCTGTAGTTCAGAGGATGAGGATGAAAGAAGCTGTTAGTAATTCTGCTTTTTGATTACTGCTAGTTTTGTGCCCATGCTATTTGAAGAAGTGAAGGGACATTTTCATCCTAAACAACCAGCTTTTCTTCTAACAGATTTAGAAATCAATTCCTTTTTAAAGGTGGTGTCCCTTATCTGCTGCACTTGCTGTACGACATTGTGCTTCATCTCCTTCAGTTTAACGAATAGCATAGAAAAGCTAAATTTTGTATGTTGCTTCATGGTGATAGCGCATCTCTGGTATATACTATGTGTGTATGTCAAAAAGCTTCCATAACATATTGCTTTAAAGAAAACTATCGGATTGTCATAGCTAGATTTGCAAAGAAAGATTACATAGAATTATATTTCTATCAGTAAATGATTTATTTGCCACCTATAGGAAGGACCTTGCACATGTAAAAGATAAGAGAATGGTTATAAAATATCCGTACCTTGGGCATGCAAGAGCAACAAAGAATCCTCTGATGCTGTAAAGTCGTCACAGAGGCCAGGCACCGCGGAGCAGGGGGGGGGCTGGGGGCTGGGGTGCTTTAGCCCCCCCCCCCACTTTTTGCAAAAAATGCCAAATATTGAGTATCAAACTACCAGAAGAGCCTCTTTTTAAACGGTTCTAGCCCCCCACTTTTTTTAGACCCCCCACTTTTCTCAACGCTCCGCGGTGACTGGAGGCCCTTTCCATTCGGCTTGCAAACGAGGCGAGTCTTGGTTTTTTCGCTTCGGTTTTCAAGAGTGCTGTTGTCAAATTAAAAACGAATGAAACCCTGACTAGTACACTGTTTGTTTACTGTTTACTGTTTCATGCACAGAAATATTGATTTTGGTTATATCTGATTTAGCTACATTTATACTGGCTCTTGGTGAGAATTGGTATAAAGACAATTGCCCTCTTTTCCACCTCCCTGTGGCCCTGTTCATATCATCTCCTAGAGCGAATTATACATTTCACTTTAAACAGTGAATTAAAGCATTTTATGGAACAGTTCTTTTTGGTATAGAATCGCAAGTGCTAAACATCAAACAGCCAAGGGGGTTCTTGAGATCCCGAGCCAAGATCTGGTTGGCACTTCTTATTGTATGGAAGTAAAGTAAGAAAAGTTCAAAGCAGAACAAGTAACATGGGAACGAAGTTGTATCCTTGCATCGTTTAATCTTGTGTTGGAATATTGGAGAGTAATGCTATTCCATTGTAGATCTGCTTAGTAATATCAGGACCGTTTTATTTGCCTAGATTTCTAGATTTAATTTTGCGTTAGCAGCTAACAAGATAAGAGTGGTTTCATCCGCTCAGTTGCTGCATCCTCCGTGTATATTGAGCAAGAGTTTATTTATACGATTAGTGTAGTTGTACAGAATAAACCCAAAAGTATTTTTGTTAATAATTTTTGAGACATTTGCAATAACAAACTCAATCAAAACGATGTTATATTTCTTCCTAAGGACTTCTTTTCTTAACTCGACCACACTTGACGCTTTAGAAGTCATAGTGTGTCACCTTAAAAGGGTTACGACGCCATAAGTTACGAGGCAGGAGTTACGAAGCAATAACTTATGTCGCAAAAAATTATAGAAATGCGGCGATTGTACAGCCTTAAAGTAAAAGAACAAGCCCAACATTTTCAATATCAATTTCTTCTGAAGTTTGGAAACTAATAAAATTCATCTTTATTGCTTGAAAAAAGGGTGAATACAAGTTTTTAATTGTAACTGAAATTATCAACCTCCCAATAATTGCCACGCTATGTTCTTTCATTGTGGTTCCTTTTCAATTTAGCAAACTACTGAATAGGAAGAGACAGATGTCTCACTCTTTTGTTAGCGCACCCAAACACCCGTCTTCGGGAGTTTCTTAAATCAAAGCTGGATAGGCAACATATAATGATGTTTTTATATGAACATCACATGAACAATTACCCGAAGCGGCCTTGCTTAGAGACTTGTCTAAATTATATAAAACGAAAGCAAAAAGCGTAGATTATACAAGCAATCTTGTCTTACAAACTCAAACAACGCTGTGTAATAACAGCCCATACACAGTCAGCCAAAGGCAGAGAAGTCAATTATTTTGCTAATATTAGTTATACAATACAATGTATTTATGCACTACAAGATTTAACCTTTGTTTTGAAGATGCTATACCAGGAGAATTGTCTTTAAGCCAAATAAGCACCAGCTTTTGCAGCAAACCTCATATCCGAGTCAAATATTTTTTTTCAGATCTACGAAGCAGATGTAATGAAATGATTTTTTCGTGTTTTAAAGAATCTACTATGAGGTGGTATTTTGCATAAAGAAAATAGCTGCTGGGTGGTATTAATACATATACAGACCCTTAGTAATTTACATTATCTCAATCTAGCCCTTCTTTCATATCGGAAATAAGACTACTCTATATGCACCAGAAGAATATTCTATGGTGTATCTATCTGTTTCTAGCAAACTTTATCATTAAAATATCATTGTTTATCTTTCTATTTTTAATTGATTTTTCTTGATCAAAGCTCTCAAATTTGATTCTTGCTTTAAGCAAACTTTGAATCAACTCCGGCACAAAAATATAGGTAGTGAGAGCAGGCGTGCAGCACGATAGAAAAATGGGGCATTTCCCCCAAAAAAATAGCAACAAGCAGAAAAAGGCTACGGTTGGGCTTTAAAAAAACTATAACCATTTAACGGCCTTGTACATAAGGGGTCAATTTAAGACCATATATTTCTTCTCTATTCAATTAATGCAAAAATTATCTGCCTTTTTACCTAAGATTAGAGATCACATTCTGAGAAAGTAGTGGATGCTTTTGCTCTAAGTAGAAAATTAGATCTCTCGTCATAGCCCCAAGGAGAACTTGTGAAACCACGCCCTTTGATGTACGAGGAAATATTATTGATGTAATGCGTGTAGAAGACATTGCAGATATGAAAAGCCTACCTTACAATTGCATATACTTTTGGACTTTATAACGTCTTCGAATTTCTCCTAACCCCCTGTCTGTTATAGCCTTGCATTTCAAGCTGTATAACTTGCGTTTGTGATTAATTTAGCCTAAAATAACAAATAAGGACGCAGCTGCCATTGCATTTCCTTCCGTTATCAATTAAAACTCAAAATCTTTTGCGTCTTTTGTATAATATAATGGGCAGAATTTGAGTTTCTTGGCTATAAATCACGACTGAACTAAACCTATCGTAAGTTAAAATCTTCAACACGTCAATGAGAATTGGTATAAAGACAATTGCCCTCCTTTCCACCTCCCTGTGGCCCTGTTCATATCATCTCCTAGAGCGAATTATACATTTCACTTTAAACAGTGAATTAAAGCATTTTATGGAACAGTTCTTTTTGGTATAGAATCGCAAGTGCTAAACATCAAACAGCCAAGGGGGTTCTTGAGATCCCGAGCCAAGATCTGGTTGGCACTTCTTATTGTATGGAAGTAAAGTAAGAAAAGTTCAAAGCAGAACAAGTAACATGGGAACGAAGTTGTATCCTTGCATCGTTTAATCTTGTGTTGGAATATTGGAGAGTAATGCTATTCCATTGTAGATCTGCTTAGTAATATCAGGACCGTTTTATTTGCCTAGATTTCTAGATTTAATTTTGCGTTAGCAGCTAACAAGATAAGAGTGGTTTCATCCGCTCAGTTGCTGCATCCTCCGTGTATATTGAGCAAGAGTTTATTTATACGATTAGTGTAGTTGTACAGAATAAACCCAAAAGTATTTTTGTTAATAATTTTTGAGACATTTGCAATAACAAACTCAATCAAAACGATGTTATATTTCTTCCTAAGGACTTCTTTTCTTAACTCGACCACACTTGACGCTTTAGAAGTCATAGTGTGTCACCTTAAAAGGGTTACGACGCCATAAGTTACGAGGCAGGAGTTACGAAGCAATAACTTATGTCGCAAAAAATTATAGAAATGCGGCGATTGTACAGCCTTAAAGAAAAAGAACAAGCCCAACATTTTCAATATAAATTTCTTCTAAAGTTTGGAAACTAATAAAATTCATCTTTATTGCTTGAAAAAAGGGTGAATACAAGTTTTTAATTGTAACTGAAATTATCAACCTCCCAATAATTGCCACGCTATGTTCTTTCATTGTGGTTCCTTTTCAATTTAGCAAACTACTGAATAGGAAGAGACAGATGTCTCACTCTTTTGTTAGCGCACCCAAACACCCGTCTTCGGGAGTTTCTTAAATCAAAGCTGGATAGGCAACATATAATGATGTTTTTATATGAACATCACATGAACAATTACCCGAAGCGGCCTTGCTTAGAGACTTGTCTAAATTATATAAAACGAAAGCAAAAAGCGTAGATCATTATTACAACAATCGTATTAGCATGAATCTAAACAAACGCTGTGTAATAACAGCCCATACGACAGTCACCCAAAGGGAGAAGTCCAATTATCTTTCGCTAATATTAGTTATACAATACAATGCTAATTATAGCAGCATACCATAATTTAAAACTCTTTGTTTTGAAAGTGTATACAGGAGAATTGTCTTTAAGACCAAATAAGCACTAGCTTTTTCAGGCAAAGCCTCATATCCGAGTCGAAATATTGTTTTTTCAATCTCTACCGAAGCAATTGTAATGAGGATGATTTTTTCCTGTTTTAAACGAATCTACTATGAGGGGTATTTTTGCATAAAGAAAAGTAGCTGCTGGGTGGTATAAATACATATACAGACCCTTGTAATTACAATTATCTCAATCTAGCCCCTTCTTTCATAATCGGAATAAAACACTCTATTGCACCAAAGAATATTCTATGTTATTATCTGTTCTAGGAAACTTTATCACTAAAATATCATTGTTTATCGTTTTATTTTAGATAGAGGTTTTTCTGATCAAGACTCTAATTCTTGAATCATTGCTCAATTGATAGTGTTATATAGCAGGAACTTTTGAATCAACTCCGGGCACAAAAAATATAGGTATGTGAAGAGCAGGGTGCAGACGATAAGAAAAATGTGGGCATTTTCCACAAAAAATAAGCAACAAGGCAGAAAAAAGGCTACGGTTGGGCTTAAAATTACTTTAACGGCCTTACAGGGGGCAATTTTAAAACCATAATATTTTCTTCCTCTATTCAGCATATAATAGCAAAAAATCGTAACTGCCCTTTTTACCTAAGATTATGAGATCACATTCTGAGAAAATTAGTGGACTTGCTTTTGCTTTACAGTAGAAAATTAGATCTCTCGGCATGCCCCAAGGAGAACTTTGTGAAACCCACGCCCTTGATGTACCGAGGAACATTATTAAGTGTAATGCGTGTAGAAGAACGATGCACCGATATGAAACAGCTACCTTACAATTATATACTTTGTGACTTTATAAACGTCCGAATTTCTCCTAACCCCTTGTCCTTTATAGCCTTGCATTTCAAGCTGTATAGACTTTGGCGTTTGTGATTTATGTTCAGCCCTAACATAGTAACAAATAAGGACGCAGGCTTGCCATTGCATTTTCCTCGCTTTCTTCCAAATCTCTAAATCAAAATTCTTTGCGTGCTTTGTATAATATAATCGGCAGAATTTGAGTTCTTGGTCTATATAATCACGACTGAATAAACCTATCGTAAGTTAAAATCTTCAACACGTTCAATGAGCTAAACAAAGTGTGTTTTGGGGAAAATTAGGAAAAGCAACCTCAAAACAGAAGAAGAAACCAGAGGGAATAACTATCACAAATTAGCATTCTTTTCAGCCAACATCTAAGAGAGTAACGTCAAAATCGTTGCAGTAAGAGCAAGTATTGAGAATATTCTCCTATAGAGAAACTTTTCGAGGAGCACTATTGTGGAATTTGCTCGTTATTGATCCCGATAGTTCAAGATGAATGGACGTTGCTTGGAATGATAGTTTCGGTATCGATACCAGCTTTGCTTTGCTTCGTCATGGTGATAATACGTTGCAGTAAGGATTTTGCGTTATCCTACGCATGACGCTATCTACGCTCTTTTTCACAAACAATCGGCAGACAAGCACCGTAACAAGCAAGTTCATATCCATTATGAACTTTCGAATATGGTTCTAGCATTGTTGCTTTCCCTGGCCTTGCTATGATCTTCTTTGATGTTCCATGGTCTCGAAGCTGTAGCTTTAGGTTGACGATTCAATTCAACATTCTTGTGCTTGGATACTTCTCGTTCAGCATGCTGTTGGGCGTGGCTTTTGATCGGTATCTACGTGTTACCAAACTGAATCGATACAACATGTACATGAATGACTTTCGAATGAAAGTGCTCGTTGCAGCTGGGGCAGCCTTCTCTCTAAGCATGGCAGTGTTTTCCGTGTTTTTTCCGTATCGTTTTCCACTTGTAATTACCCTAAACATTTCAAACATTTTGGTTATTGTTGTTGCTTTGGTGCTTTACTCGATGATAATAAACAAAATAGACATTCAACCTGAAATCCTGCGCAGGCATTCACGCAAGCAAAGCAAGGAAGAAGAACAGAACAACAAGATTCGAAGCACTTCGAAGCTAATCAAAACCATGCTATTCGCAATCCTTGTTACTTACGCTCCTTACAATGTTATCTCTATCATATCAGCTTGCTACAAGATTTCTTCTAATGAAAATTCTAGACTGATTTTAGATGTAGTGCACTTATCGTCGATGATTCTACCATTTCTAAGTGTCTCGATAAACGCGATAATATATTGCTATGGTAACTCTACTACACGCCAGTATGTTGAGGAACTATGCAAGACAAGAGAATGACAAAGCAGATATTTTGTGCTGTAATTCTAGCAGAGCTGTCTACTCGCTCAGCAGAGGTGCAAGGCGCCACTCAAGACCCCTTGCGATTTTTTATTAAAAATGCACCCGCACCCCAATCCTGGCAGCATTGAATCAACAGAACTGCTTTGAAAGGCATATTGAGATCAGTTACCGAAAGGAACTGTCCAAGTGTTTATTTTTTGTTGTTGACATCTAGAATGGTATTAATAAGTTTTACGCCAACTCGTAGTTTAATCTCTTCGTGTGAGCGAATCTCTTCCACGACAGCGACCAAATTTATCGATTATCGATTCGCATCATTTTCAGCAATTCACACTCCTTTTTGCTTACCTGCCTATTCTTGTGATTATTGAACAGTTTGTGTTCCATTTCTAGAAGGTCAGAAAATCAAAATCTATTTGGTAGAAAAAGCAAAACTTTAGGATGATTTCTGTCGAAGCGTTAGCATTCACGCTTGCATTCCCTAATCACGGGCCAGTGGCGTAACACAGTATAGGGCACCTTGATTCAGCGCTTTTCAACCTTGTCTATCCACGGCACATTATTTGCGGATAGTTATAATGTTTTTTCAATTTTTTAGATCAATTTAGTGAAATTGGAGAATTTCCCAAGGCACACTAGGCAATACCCCAAGGCACGCTAGTGTTTCGTGACACAGTTGTTGAAAACATCCAAGGGCCCCCGACCAAAAGGGGACCAAGGTGCTTTTAAGTCCAGAATTTTCAAGCTTTGCTCAAGCTCAAATAATTTTTGAACACTTTTAAAGTTCCTCAACCAAAGCTCTAGAGCTCAGTTCTCCCTAGCTAACGACAAAATAATTCTCATTTTTATCTTTTTCTGTTTTGTTTGACAATTCCTACACCATTTAATTTGATCTTCTTACTGTCCGTGAATAGCAGTATTTTGCTTAGGGCCCGAGGAGCCTCCGTTACGCCAAAGCACATAAAATTAATGCGATAGTCACTATCACTAAATCGCGCATAGATTTCTTCCAAAACTTTATCCATTTTATTGTAGAAACAATTGAACAGAGCTTGGCTTTCTAGATGGGTTGTGGGGTCTTTATCCTTGCAAAGAAAATAGGTGTCCTTTCCACTGCCTTTCCTCTCTGGCAAGCTAAGTGCGTTTTGCTTTGTCTTTTGGTGTTGGCTTCAATGAAATTGTAGAGACCTTGAACAACACCCATTCCGATTCACTTTCTGAAAGATTCAACTAATGGCCAAGGCAGTGGACATACATAGATGCTCAGCGGAGAACAGTCCTCCATTCGCAACTTACTTTCGGACACCATTCAGTGCAAAAATGACACAATCTGACGAAAGTCAGATGTTTCATCAATGATGAAAGTATTACAGCCGCTTTTTTTTACTTCTTCGACAATCATTTAAAGCACTAATTGGGCTGTTGCTGTTCTTGTCACTCTTTTGTGTTTTTTCGCCAACTTGATTTTTACCATATTCCATTACTTCCAAAAGTGCTCACGATTAAAACCACTTCATCTCAGAGATTTTAAAGCATGTTCAAAATGTAGTTTTTCTTCCCTTTTTGTTTTTGGAGAGGGTTCCTGCCCAAATTTTGCCCGAAAAAATCAGCTGCCCGAATCCCCCCAGCCCCCCATCCCGTACGCCTATGGAAGCAACCGTAAATAACAGTAATCGAAATCGGAGCCTGCAGACGTTGTTATGGCAACAATAGGGGTCAGATAAGGATCAGCCACAAGCCTCGATCCCAAAATGGCAGCGGCCTAAAAACAACAGTTGTAGAGAATTGTTACTGTTAACTTGATAAACGCACTTGACTATTATTTGCAGGCCATAGCATAAGTGTAAGGATGTCCAGAATACATGTATCTGCACGTATACGACAAAGTTTTAAAGGAGAGTCGGGCGAAAAGCTCAAGCTACCTCAGCAAAATGATGGAAGCAGCGAAGGTTTTGATCATGTTTTTGAAAACTCAAAGAAATGCGAGGAACTTTACACATCTTGCATTTCTCATCTTGTTAAACCCTTTCTGAATGGTGTAAATGCATCGGTGGTAATAATGGGTGAAAGAAATTCTGGGCAAATATCTACAATATTTGGAGGAGAGATAGGGAACATATTCAAATCAAGCAAGAATAGCTCTGGGTTTTTAGCACCATTAGTTCACGATCTGTTCAGGAGACCCATCGATGTAGGTGGGAGCAGCGAGAAGCCTGTTTTGAAGTTAAGTGTAGTTCAAGTGAAAGGCAATAAGGTTGAAGATCTGCTGGTTCCACCCGGAGAAACACAGATGAATGGTAATGGTAAGGCATTTTCCTTACTTTTGGGCACAAGGCTGGAAAGTTTGACACATTATAGCCACTAAAATATTATTACTGCACTAGGGCCCTTTCACGGCATATTCTAGTGTTCATAAATCTCATTCTAATTCTCTTTGTAAACCTCATTCAAAAGATACGCCAAGGAAGAGCAAAGTGTATGCCTTGGTTCATATGCAATCATTGCCCCTAACCAAGGCCCCCCCTAAAACATTTCTGCAGGCAACTTATTAATACCTTGGGAATGATGCAATATACACAGATAATCACAGAAAGAGCTCTGTGCAGCATCACTACTCCATTTCACCAAAAGTGACAGTTTACACCACACTCCGGTGGGATCCAATACTTATCTTGCATCAACTCAATGCCAGATAACATAACTCTACTCCTAAGATTTTTGAGATTTGCTAAATGGAATGCACTCTGGCTGGTAGACAGGTAGATTCCCTGCTTGGACATTTTTTGGTAGAAAGCTAAACTTTTTTGGCATACAGTGCTATGCTGGTGCTATGCTACTTTGTTAACATTTTGATTCTTCAAAGAGACCATCCTTTCACAAATTTTAAAGCTATGAAAATTTTTATTTGCTACCCACATTACCTGTTTATTATATTTGTTCATCAAAATAAGTATAAACAGTGGTGGTGTCAGGGGAGGGCTAGGGGTGCTACAGCCCCTCTGTTGGAACCTGGAACCATCTAGCCCCCCCCTCCCATTGGAGGAAATTTTAGGTTATTGTCAAAGCAAATTTGACAAAATAACGTACGAAAACTGTTTATTTTAGTCATTTTACCCCCCCTGTAAGAAGCTCCATTCCCTCTGTCGGAAGATTTCTGGCGCCACCTCTGGGTATAAAGGAATCATTAGATTATCTACTGTTCATTGCCTTTCATTGAGTTTCATCTTGATTGTTATAGAGCAAATAGAGCAAGAAATAGAGTAAATGCATGAATATGAAATGGAAGTTGGATCATCTTAAGCCCTGTCAAATGTACTTAATATTCTAGTAAACAATAATAGATATTTATTTTCTGATTTGTTGACAACCTTATTTAGTGATTAAAAATCTTGTTGGGTGATATTTGACATTGTTTAATTAAATGGAGTTCAAAAACAGTTCTTTAACTATTGGTGAAATTTTGTTTAAATTTGACAAATTTACTCCTTTGCAACAGTGAAATTTAGCATGTTGAAATGATTGGTTTATTTAATCACTTATAATTGAACATGATTTCCTTCACTTTTTCTAATTGTAATGTTTTATAAAATGTTCAGCACGTTTATAACACTAAATTATAGCATTTCCACTCATACACCTCACAATGTTTGGAAAGAGTTTATTCTACAATATTGCTGATTTTCTTTCTAGGAACCATAGGTTTTGTTGAAAATGAATTTGAAGGGTTGCAATTAAAAAATGTGATAGAATTAGAAGTTATTGGAACAAAGGATTGCTCCATTATGATAGAAGGGTCGCTAGAAAAAGTTGGTTTGTTGGAAGAAGAGGACTTGTCAGACAAAGAAGATTCAACTTTGATGATTCAGTTTCAGGTAATTTTGCCAATCTTGACAAAACTCTTAACCTTTATTATTTACACTGTCAGATATTTTTTGCAGCAGCTGTCTAATCAACTGCAACTTCATTGCTATCATTAGAACTTTGGTCTTAATTCGTATTGTTCACACCAACCTTTGGTTTGTTTAGAAGTCATACATATAAAATAGTGAGCAGTTGAAATAATTCTAAACTATTTAACTCAACCAAATGGAATCTTTATGCTGTATCATTTCAAATTTTCAGATGCAAAGCAACAAAAATGTTCAGTTAACTTCCTGGCTTAGGATTTTCAAACTGCCTGGTGTTGAGAAGTTGATGAATACCCCACCTGATAAAAACACAAGACCCCATACCTCTTCATTGGATGTTCATGCATTTGGCAATGTTGTGTTACAACTTACTGATGGGGATGAAAATATACATGTTCCAAACTACAGGTAAGCGTAAAATTTGAGTTTTTTGGAAAACTGTCTCCATGGAACAAAATTTTAGTGACATAGTGAGAAAGTAAATTCCAAAGATGCCCATTTCTACAGAGTGGAAAGTATATACATACATTGATAATCCATTTCACCCAGCTCAGACACAGAAAAGGCAATCTACGTTATGTTTGGGTTAAAAGATGCTTTTTAGATGTATAAGGGCTTATATTCTTGGAGACCTGGTCCAATTAATATTTCTAAAAGTGGAACAATTTTGTTCACTAGACCAGAACTTATTGTTAAAAAATTTGCACAAGGGCAATGAGCTGCTTGCATTGCACAAGTTCTATTGTGATGCTCTTTCAACATAACATTTTCTTAATCTTTGTGCCATTAAAATTGGCATTATCCTTAAGACTGTGATCAAACTATTTTAGTACAAGATAATTTTGAATGTTGAAGAAAAAGTGTTACAAGAAATTAATGCTTTAACACATACCATTTCATTATCAGCTTGAAACCTTATTTGTGTCTACATGAGACACAAGACCTGTATGAAACAAAAGTATCTGCAGTCAGGATATGTCACATTATTCTTATAAATGCTGATGGAGAATAAATGCAATAGGATGTTGCACCATTGTCTGTGATTTGAAGATGTGATTGTCACAGAAAGTTTCACTATCTTATCTCTGTATAGTGTCTGATAAGAAAGGCCTTCAATGGCTGTGTATTTAGTCTTAAATTAACTTCTGTGCTTAATTTGCTTAATTTCAGCGAAACAGTGTTAACAACTCTTCTGTCAGATGCACTTGGAGGAAACTGCTTAACAAGCTGTATAGTGACATTCAAACCGAACAAAACTCCAGCTTCTGCCATTGTTTTGAGATATGGCCTGCGCTTAAAAAAGATAATTAACTATCCAACACAAAATACATCCAATTTCAAAGTATGTATTATTTTTGTTATAATTATTATCAAAACCTCTTTGGTAAAGTGCATTTTTCTTTAATTTATGATGTTATTCATTCGCTCATTTCATTTATTGGTTTGTCTCAGTGGAATGAGCATGGGTTTTTGAAGCAGCAAACTGAAGTTCCATTCTCACCAGGTGTGGTACAACACAATTTGAAAGCACTCTTATGGAAGACGTTGACTTCCTGTCAGCCTTTGCCTTTTGTTAATGTATGGAAAATCACGTATATTTCAGTATGAAACTGCTTACAATGTCTGTTCTCTCCTGCTTTATATGATTCGCACTATCGCTCTCTGAGAAGTAAAAAATGACTTTTTCAGTTAGAACTTTTGTACAATATACCCAAGACTGATTCCAAATATATTCTTTTTAAAAAGGTTATGTTACATTGAGCCATCTCATTCCTGTCATAGTAATTTATGAACTTGTTTCATTTCAAGGTAAAGGCGCAACAATGAAATTTTAGAACTTCTGCCAGTCTATCACATGTGTAAGGTAGTCTTAAATGGTCTCAGTCTAAAAGGATTATGTTTCTCTCTAAACGATGATCTTTAGATTTGATCAATTCATACGTATGAGATTTATCTAACTGTGGCGGTCTTTGTCTCATAGAATATTCTACGAAGGTATCGATGGCTGGTAAAAAGAATGCAGTCAAAAGTTCACGAAGACAGACAGAAGAATGAAGCTTATATTGATGAGCTTAAAAAGAAGATAGCAGCTCTAGAAAACAAAATGAAAGAAATCGAGCATGATAAAGTATGTGCTTTATTTCCTACTTTATGAATTTTATGTGAGAGAAGGGAGGAAAGCAGATCAATGTGACAATGATTGTGGGATGAGGCTATAATTATTTGTGTCATACTTTTCCAGTCGGGGCTCATTATAAAATTCAAATGTAGAATTTAAATGTTCTTGTGTAAAGAAAAACACCTAGCTAAAATTATGTACATATTTCAAAATGGTTTTCATATGAGAGTTTCCCGGCTTTTGGCTTGTTTGGTTTTGTAGATAAACTTGCCAGTTTCACTTCTTGCCTGTTGATTGCATTTTTCATTCATTTCAAACTCATGAACCAAGTCTTAATAAGAAATCTTCTATTAGTGTCACATTGTCCAGCTGACAACTTTTATTTTATTTGACTTCTAATGTCTTTCTGTGGAGTATCACAATAGCCCTCTTCTGCTGCGTACATATTTATATTCAAAATTAGTTTCATTATCCCTTTTGTCGAAATTGTATTCTGAAAGGTCTAGATATCGTGTCAATGTACGCTTAAGAGTTACGAAGACAAATAAACTTGATATAAGGCATGTATAATTAATGTTTTATTTGAGATTCGAGTTGTTTCTATGTATAAGGTTATTGTCGATTATTTTGGAATAGACCAATGTTGTCTTCCAGCGGATATTTTCATGAAAACTGTATGCATATTCTCACTTAGTTTGCTTTTATAGCATAATCTCTCTAATTCCTCTTTAAGTTCTGAATAGTTATACTGCAAGCTTGGTAATTTTTACAGCATCTTGTCTGTTTAACAAAGCATTCAAGAACTCCAACTGCATGGATTTTGAAAAAGACTCCCACTTCGAGCTTTTGTCACCATAACTGAAATGACTATGTAGATTTGAAAATTGAATTTCTTTAGCTGACATTCTGAAGTGATTCATTTATGAATTCTATGGCACTCATATGAATTGTATGAATTAAACTTAATTCAGTTGCCATTGTTTCGCTATGGCCTCATTTACAATAGATCGAGCATCCATCGATTCACTTAATTAGTGTAACACTGCAGTATCTGCTGCTGAATGCAAGACATTATTGCTTCATAGTTAACCAATAATGGCTAAAATAGCGTAAAAGCTGTAAAGGGCTATTTACATGTCTTCTTCAAACTCCCAAAGCTTCGAGGTTTTTATTACCAGCCCTGCTGTCAGGGCAGAGTCCAGAAATTGGAGAAAAGTACTATTGTTGGGTCATGTACTATGTTACAGTTTGTGGCTTTAGCATCCCCCCCTTCTTCGAAAGTTTCTCACGGCCTCCGATTTAATGGTTGTACAACATGATCTCAATTTTTTTGGGAAAATTTTTCAACACATTCGAATCATTGTAAAAATAAAAATTGGGTCAAGTATTTAATGTATATTAATTAATCTCTCTCATGCAACTTGGGATTCTCAGTTAAAACTTGGATCAAAATTAAGAGAAAAAGAGTATTTACTTTTATCCAAGGTCAAAAATTAGAATAGAATAGAGGTTTATAGAAAAGCAGTATTGAGACTAGGATGATTATCTTCGAACTGAGAAGCTACTTTCCTGTTCAGCCATGATACATTAAAACAACAATGTTTGTATCTAATGCGTGCTTTTTAGGTTTTCAGTATTATAAAAGCTGCTGTGAAACTATTAATTGTAAGCTGTGCCTTCGGCTATCTTAATATTTCAGTTACAAAGATCTTGTATAAGGTCATAAGGTCATGGTTTTAGGTTTGTTAGAATGAAGTGATCACTTGATTTTATGTTTTGTAGGTTGAATGGCAAGCGGAGAAAAATGATGCTGAGAATCGTTTAGCAAATGCAAACAGAAAATATGCTGATCTGACGTCATCAAGAACTGAAATCTCATCACGGATGGTGTCTTCGGAGCAAGAGAAACTCAAGGTTTTTTTTTAATTGCGTTTACCTATCTCTGGACTAAAGATATAATCAGTGACTGTATGAAAAAGCCATCTATGATTATTACATTGCCATAGCCAATGCTGTTGAAAAAGTAAAAATGTAAAAAACACATTGTCATAGTTTGACTTCTAAATAGCTGGTTTTGCATAACAGTTAAGAAGTGGTGTCACCAAGTCTTTTACATAACTAGTCTTCTGAATCACAATTACATATTTAGTTCTGACTCTCAGTGACTCCATCGATGTTTGCCTCAATCTTTGATTGTTGTAAATTAATTTAGTCATGCTCATCAGTGTTTTGTTTTTAACAAAACTATTGTTAGAAGAAAGTAGTAAAATATATGTAAAATGAAAATAATAATTAGATATCATACGACTAGAGGATCTACTTGTCATTAATAAGCCCTTTCATGAAATTACTTTGAAAAGCAATAAATGTCATTAATGATATCTGATCGAGCGAATTTTAAACTGACAAATGAATTGACCGAGGCAAGAAAAAGGCATTATGTTCTGCGTGCTGTCGCTGATGAAGTATATACCTTTTTCTTTCCTCTAAGTAAGGGGATAAACGAGGCAGGGAGTAATGAATGTTTCGTTCATATTGTAGCTATCAAAAGAAATTGTCGATCTTCAGTTGTTAAACAATGCAATAAAACAGGAAGCTGAGAAACAAATATTTGATTTACGGCAGCAGGTAACATACTTTAGGATCACTTACTTACTCGTCATTCGTATACGACATGAAGATAATTTTTCAGTTTTTTGTGTGAAATGTCAAGGCCCGTGCCACGACATTTTACAAAAGATTATGCTTAGTTCAAAGAGAAAGGATGCTAATGTTCCATGAATTCCTAACATGACTTGCTCCAAAGAACTGTTGCATGTTCAAACGATCATACGATCAAAAATTCTATAAGATTGGTATCAATGTCAATGTGTCATTGTTTATTCTTCAAGCCATTATATGAACATTAATACTTTATTTTACAAATCTACACTAAAATGCTCCTCTCAATTACGAAAAATCAAAACACGAAAGAGTGACAACAGATTCTTTTGATAGGTGAACCAAATTATTTTCTCTTTGCAAGTTTTGATTTCTTCGTTTACGATTTGCACCGATTGTCAAAGTTTTAACCACTGTCATGCCATTTCCTCGTAGAATTTAGTTCTAGAAGGGAAAGCTTCTGATATGGAAAGGAGTCTGGCATTAGAGAAACGGGGACATCAAGATCAAAAAGAGAGAGCAACACATTTTAAGCAGGAGCACCAGGACCTCAGTGAAGAGTACATTAATCTCAAAGGAAATCATGCCTCGCTTTCAGAAGAACACCAAGCTGTGGTTTGAATTTAATCAATTTGACTTTTCTGGTAGTACATCTCAACTCACTCGTTTCATTATCCTCAATGCCTTTCAAAGTTAGTAACAACTTCCTCGTTTCTTCAAAACAGTGCAGATAGTTTACAAGACCATCTAGTAGATAGATGGGTAAGGGAGATGGAAGGTTTTCTTACCTGCTGTGTCATTTTGTAGTAGATGCGGTTTATTTTAAGGGAAAGGGGCTCAGTTTTGAGCTCGTTCGCTTTGCAGAAGTTTCACTGTGCAGCTTGAGTCCAAAGCAGGGACCATTTCAAGTTTAGTTATCTGGTTTGCAACCGTACTATGTCAGTGAATTGTTCTCAGATGTTTAACACTTAGGTTCAAGTTATTGATATTCGATGCAAACATTATATCATATTTTAAACTGGACACGACAAGCCAGTTGATGAACAAATGCCCTGCTAAAAATATTCTGTTTATATGGAAAGTGCAATAAAGAACGTACTTCTGAATCTTTAGGTGCATCTCAACCAGTCAGGGCCTTAGACCTCAAAATCTAACTGAAGGATCTAATTCATCGAAGCCAGTCAGTACTCCCGGATGTAAGGAAAGTGCCAAATTTTTGTCACGAATATCTGCTTCTTACGTTATAGGTAAAACCTCTCTAACTTTGAAATGCTTCCTACCTTTCACTTTTGTTCATTTTGTCAGATTAATGAGAACGAGACATTAAAAAGCAAAATAGCAAAGCTTGTAGATGCGAAGGAGCAAATGATCAAATATAAAGACCAGACAGAAATGCAACAGCTTCAGGTACAACCGTATGATATTCATTCGTATTCACTGCATTAATATTGGGGAGATCACCATGAGTACAACTTGTATTATCGAATCATTTGTATTATCAAGATTTCTATCTTGGTATTATGTATATGTTTGCTTGAAATGGTTGATAGTAAAAGTGATAATTAAACCATTATTAGCCCGAAATTACATTCTTTTTGTAGTTATACTTTGTAAATCTATGCTAGCCAGCTTGTAATTGTAATGTAATTGAATCGAAACGACATTGTTCATGATAATCTTTGTAAAGAAGTTCCTTGTCACCTACTTGAAAGGGACCCTGTAACTGCCCTGTTAGACTGCAAGCCCTTTGAAATAGACATTGTAAGACTAAATTTACGTAAAGTTTCTGAATTTACACCATTTACAAGGAAATTCTGTTCTCTCGAGTTTTATCAAGATTTAAATCATGATAAAAGCAAATGAATCGAGCATCACAGGGGTAAGACATTGTAATCCTTAAACAATGTTTAAGAAGTTCACACAACATTTAGATATTTATTGGAGAAAGAGAGAAATAAATAAAAAGAAACAAACCACATAGAATATTTAATCATTTTGATAATATTTTCCGCGAAAATTCGCCAAAAAATGTGTTGTTAAGAGAAGATCTTGGAAAGTCGTGCTGCTCTAAAATACAGCCTTTAGTATACACATCTTTTTTAAGCGAAAGAGAATTTGTTCAAACATATATATTTTTGAAAATCATATTAATTCATATATTCCTCCATTTTTTAGGATCTTACCGAACAACTAAAAATGATAACTGAGCAAGTATCCCAAGAATCCAAACAAAGAAAGGTTTTATTTTGGTTGACTTGCTAGCAATATCAATTCAGTAACCTATTGGTGAATTCAACATTCAATCGTATTTTCATAGTTACCCATAATCTTGTAGGCAATTGAAATATTTGCAGAATGTGGCCGAATATCCATCCAAAGTACATTCCTATGTTCTAATGTGGAACAATGTAGCTGAAAGCTATATTATCATTAAAAATTTTCATACAACATCTATGATCACATTTTCTTAACTGTTAAATTATTGAAGGCAATCGATAGACACTAAAGGGGCCTAAACCATCTTTCAATCAAGAATTGAACAATCAGCGAGTGTGTCTCTACTCACACGGCTATTGATTGGCTAATATTGATTGGCAGATGTCTTAAGCTACTTTTGTATCTGTCAATTGCCTGTAAGCCACTGGTTATTAAGAGAGCGCAGACTACATATGATTTTTAACAGGACCGGCGGGGCCAACGGGATACGGCTTTATCACAAAAGCGGTCCCAATACTCAGAAATTCTAGATTTCCTAGTATTCTAGTTCAAAGGGTCGAGACAACATGTATCATGAAAGTACAAAAGTACATACACAAGTATTTCTCTCTAGTCGAGTTCAGCACTTCTCCGTTCCTTTCTCCAAGTCAAAGACTCTATCTTTGATAAGTATGTAGGAAGGATACAGCCAAGATGTTAAGTTTATTCTATACAAAAACTAAACCAGTATATTCCACTCTACCTTTTGGTTCCTTATTTGTGAAAATGAAGCAGTATTTGTTTGTTATGGTTTTTCCCTAGTACATAGCCTTGAATTGTAGCCATGATACCTCAACTATCTAATTAGGAAAGATCTGTTTTATTTCAGTTATACAGTTGTTTTGTTTTCAACTTTAATTTTGTTTGTTATTTCGAATTCAGACAAGTTCGTCCATGAGATTGAGGTCTTCGATAAAAAAGCTTGACCTGGAGAAGCAAGTATGTTTTTCAATTCTTGTCTTTTACCTCTGGATATCAAAGCTTGTATCCATTACAAGTTACAGTATATACACAGAACAGAAGGAACATAAATTAGCACACAAATTAAAGCATTTTAGCGTCCAGTCCTATGAAAGTTTTAGTGAAGGGGAGTGCAATGTATATGATATTTTCGTTATTTTAGGAAATGAAATTGGATGTAAGTTGTAGTTGCTTTTTGTATCGTTATCAACATTTTATTGCTGAAGAAACGAAGTTTCATTCTAGTAACTATAAAAGAAATTTATTAGTAATTTTACTAGTGAGAGGCTTACGCTTCATAATTAGGAAAAGCCGTGGTTTGTGGATCCCTAATTAATGTATATCGGTACATATCACGTCCTTCTGAACAAATGTAACGAAATTTGTCTAATCTGAAAACAGTTTTCCTCTCTGATGTTTGAAATCTTACTCTGTCATCTTATAGATTTTTACAATAAACCTGTTCCTTTTTAGTTGTTGTTAAACGTCCAAGAAAGAGAGGAGAAACTTGACTCACTTAGAGAGGAGCATAAGATGGAACTAAAAAAGCTAGGGGAAAAACTGTAAGGCATGCTCTGTTTGTTACATTCACCTTTCTCATCAGATTCATTGAAATTCTTTACCCTCTTTAGAATATTTATATCAAGTTTTTCTTTCAAAATCGATAAATTTTAAACGAAGCAAAGTAGGGTTACCTTGTATTTATCTTAACTGGAAACAACAGATCTACTTAAAATGCTCATAACAATACCTCTTAGTTAAATTATTTGATTATTTGATACTGTTTTTGGCAGAATTGAGTAGCATGTACACATTTGGTGATGTCTTGCTTACGGCTTATCTGCTCTTCTTACACAGATATAGTCTCATTATTTTTGTTATTATTTTCTGTGCACTCCACCAGTGCAGTTCATGCACATTTCACTTGTCGAGTAAACCCATCTATATTAAATTGATATTCATTTTCCTGCTTGTTTATATTCCAATATAAGAAAGGACATTTTTTCTTGTCGCTTAATTTTTATTTGAGCTGAGCAAAAACCTATAATCTTAAACACTGGTTTTGAAGCAAACATTTGAAGGCATGACGTCAGCTGGCATATAAAAAGCAACTACCCTCTCTCCCATTTGAAGTTGTGGTGTATATATTTAATAGCAACGACATCATCGTTGCACTTCCATGGGGGCGGGGTCTTACCACGGTTTATCCAGTGTTTTTAAGCAAACTGTTGACACTGAAATATGCATATTTGCAGCTTTCTTCGCATTATTGCTCACCTCAGTTGGAAACGTGTCTAACACACCAGACCTGTGTTTCTCGTATTTAAATTTCATTATTTGCTACGGGTAAGAAATCAGAATAGTAATCGAAAAAGTGATTTCAAACCTTAACTTTCCTCCTCACTGTCTCTTAGGATCTTATATGTTCCTGGTGTCAAGTGGTTGAAAATTAGCCATATTTTTTCTTTATCTTTAAGTAATATGACATCAGGTGCGTGGTGGACTCCTAATAGAAATAATGAAAACACCTTCGCTCAATTCATTGTAAAAAGCAAAGGAATTGGATTAAAAGAGTTACAGATATGTACGTTCAAATGCTAAATTGTTGATGTAAGTTGGTGTTATTTCAGTTTTAACAAAGGCTGAGTTCAAAGAACTTGAAATCAAATATTAAAAATGTAAAAAGCAAATATAAATAACGAAGGTATAGTTTGAAGAATATCTAAAAAGAATTTGAATAAGAATAAAGATAAAAATTTGTTTTAGGATGGCGATGAGAGAAGAACTGAAAGAATCAAACGAGCAAGCGGAGAGATACAAAATGAGAATGGCGGAGCAAAATTCTGTAAGCCACAGGCCAATGTTTTCTAGTAGCTTTTATCTAATATTCGCACGGCTATTACAGGAATGGAAATTTCGTAATAGCATTTCTTTAGAGGCATTATCAGTTTTCGTCTTTGATATTTTTAACTGTGTAGTGTTGTGCTCTGAAGGCTGAGAATCAGTATTTCGTACAGAGTAGTGGAGATTTGTTCCAATGTCTTTAAAAGAAAAACAAAATGTCATAATTTAAATCTGTTATTTATCATAAATTTTGCACGTCTTTGCTGTACAATCAATTATTATAACAGTCCTGTGTTTTCAATGTAATCTAATTTTTAAATTAAGTTAATCCCGAATAACGATGGCTCCAAATATTGTCTAAGATAGGAAATTGATATATATAGTGCATTTTAGAAGAAATAACTTCTGTTTAAAAGTGTTTCTTTAATATCTTTTCACTGCAAGCTATACAAACATTGTGCCAAGGAATATTTTTTACTCCAAGCCAAAAGACCTTTTTTACACCTGCTTTTTTATAGCTGATTGCGGTAGCACAAGTCTCAAGCTTGTGCTGTATGAAATTTTTCAAGCTGATAGGGACCTGTTCATTAATAGTTTAAAGAGAGTCAACTGTTTATTTTCTTGGTATTCTAAAAATAATCTTGAGTTTCTTTCAATGCATGACAAAGCAGTTCCATTACGGGTGTTATGATTGGCTACCTATCTATGATGTGGAGTTAGCCAGTTGTTTATCCGTTGATTCTCCTTAGTAAGCTCAGCTTTCATTCATTCAAGTTCCTTCTTTTTCCTTAAAGACTCATTGCTAAAAATGAGCCATTGCGCTACGCAAGCATCCCATAATGCATTTTTGGACTGTCTGAAATCAATTTTTGTTAATCCGTAGAAGTTTACTGCCATTGTTTGAACCGTCGCCACGCTCGCAAAGGCCCATTGTTAGCAATTAGTCTTTAATTTTACAACACCTCCTTGCTCTTTTCTATATCAGGAGCTGCTGATCGCCAATGAACAAAAAACTCGAAATGAAGATTTGGTTCAAAAACTGGATGAGAAGTTGAAAGATTTGTCTCTGGAGTACTGCAAGAGGCTGGAGACCTATATTTTCGATTTGAAGGTTTATTTACTTTTAATGATATTCTATCAGATTTTTGGTTGAAGGCTGGTGTATGGCTTGAATATAATGGAAATTACTGTTTTGCCTGACTGTTAATATTGTACTGGAGGCCCTATAGACAGTTTTACACCCTGGCTATAGGACGGCTCTACGTAAAGGTAAACAAATAAAAGGTGGAAGGGTTTCACTTGACACCCTGATCTTTATTTCAAAATCTATTTCATGGTTCATACAAATTCTATTCAATAAGACTTTTGGTAACTTTTCAGCATTTGGGCATTTTTTAGATTTTGACGGGTAATTTAACCCAATGTGAGACCTGACTTAACCAAAGAACAATTAACAATAACATTTAGTCAGTGAAATGCACAATTTCTTTTATATTTGATGCGCAGAACCTTATGTTTCTCTGACTAACGTATTTATCATATTTCAGTATTTGTCTCTATTATTTTGTCATATCATACTTCTGTGTTGCTTTTAGGGTTTTTTGTGGAATCAACAAGGAGAAAAACGTGATCAAACTCTAAAAGATAAAGTCGATCACATTGATTCTATGATGGAAGGATTGAAAAAAGGCTACAATACTGATAAGGAGATGCTTGAAAATAGATTGAAAAGGACAGTGACATATTCACTGGAAATATTGCAACGTCATGAGCAACTCTTAACTGCATACAAGTATGTGCTTTCTTCACCTCTGTTGGCTACTGAAATGTTTTACAGGGATGTGAGAAGTATGGTGCGATTTGAGAAGGGGGGTGCGGCTGGGTCATCGAGAGCCACGCCGGACCCAACGGCAAACCCAATGCTTGGGCCCCTTTCTACTCAAAGAAATATACCTAAAATGCGTTTATTATGGATTTAGAATGCAGAATTTTCTTATTTACTTTTATTTTTGTTCGAATAGCGTTGTCGAACTTTCAAAATACTTTCAAAGAAGTTATTTTAGTTTGTTACTCAAATGGAAATTGTTTCTAGATCGGAATGGTGTGGCTGATAAGACCGTTTTATTATTTAATGAAAAAAACAAATCTGATATCTTTCAAGGTTGATTTTATGGAAAACTGGAGTTGGAGGAAGCTCGGAGAACAACATCGAAAGAGATTTTGATATAACATTGCCACCAATTGAAGAAATTAAAAATGAGCAGGTTGGTTTTTTCTTTATACAATGGAGTGATCAAGAAAAGGCGCTTGAAAATATGAGCTTTAGTTGTCAAGAAAATTCTATTTTTCTAAATAAAACTTTCATTTTCCAAGTTCATTCGCCGAACTAGATAAACTAGTTCATTCGCCGAAGAATAAGTTGTGATTTTCATATTTGCTAATAACTCTTCACTTTGATTTACTTGACTAATAGATATTTATATTTTTAGATTAAAGAGAAAAACGACCTCAAGACCAAACTCTATTTGTCAGAGCAAAATGTAAAAGATTTGCAAGATAAGGTAGATAAATTTCCTTTCAAGCTTGGCCATGAAAACTACATTCTAATGCGCCTTGTTATGAATTTACCAACTTGATTACGTACAGCAAGCACCTGGGTAGAAGACATTAGTAGATTCAGTACCTTCTTTTCTTTCTTTATTTGAAGTTGGTATAATTTCTAGCTATGCATACTCAAGCTATTTAAAACCAACTAATTTAAATTAATAACGCTTAATATAATGTAATTCAAATTAAACCGATGTTGCATACGTATTCCTTGCAAAGATTCCAAGTACAATTTAACGATGTAAATTTTGAGATTTTTTCTTGAATATTTGTAAAATAGGGGAGTACTTCATCTCGTTTGGAACAGAGTTACATATTTGGCTACATCTGTATGATGCGGTATTGAATCCATTCATTTTGTAACATGGCTCCACTGTTTTGAATTGGGAGTTTCTTAAGTAATATGGGCATTCATTCATAGAACATACTTCATCCATAAAAGGTGGATTCAAACCGTTAAATGTTTTGTAAATTTCTCTTATGAAACGTTATTGTTTTATTCTTTATTAAAAGTTGTTCAAAAGTTGATTCATAATCATCAAGAGATATTTTCATTGCTCTTTCATGAATCCGATTTATCCGGTTATTATTTTTTCTACTGCAAAACATCCGAACAAAAGGACAATAATTAGAATAAGATGATATGAACGTTTTCATTAAAAGAATTTGCTTGGGCTCGTTCATATTCGAAGCAATCCTGGCTAGAGCGTTTATTTTTTTCCCAGCTTCTTTAAAAAAACTTTGGTATGTTCTTCTAATCTAAGTTGATGGCCTAGTGTTACTCCCAAAAGTTTAACATTCTTACTTTCTATTATAGTAGAACCATTTATTTGAATTTTAGATCCCTCTAAATTGAATCGGCTGGCTTTAAAAATTATGAGCTTGCCATTGAGCACCAAAAATTTTTCATAAAACTATTTATTAAGAATAGCGGCTTCCGATTCTAAGTCTTCAGTTAGTTCATTCATATCAGTACTTGACAGCCACATTGTATTATCATCTGCATAGTTGCATAAGTTGCTTTTGTTCAAATGCAGAAAAATATCATTTATCTAAATATTGAAAAGCAACGGGCCTTGAGATTGAAGATTGATCCTTGAGGAACTCTATACACCTGGAGGCTGTAATTTTGAATGAGTCAAAACTTGGAATCAGATTAAAAACTTGGAGTTTTATGCAATGTTTATAGGAGCTTTTTATAAATACTTTTTTGCTAAATATTCTTATTGGATATATTTGGTTTTCAATTATGAATGTTCTAAATACTGATGTTTTCTGTATTTTATACCCTCTTCGTAATACAGCTACATATAAATTTTTAGAAGTCATAGCCTTTTCGAAGAGAAGTAAGATGGGGGCAGGCCTTTTTTTATTTAAAGAGAAGGACAGTAATCTATTGCTAAAAGCAATGGAAAGCCAGTGGGGCTGGATAGGCAATTGCCCCCTCCACTCTGTTTGTATGTCAAAAAGGCCCTGTTAGAAGTGGTATTTCCTGAAAATGGAGGTTCAAAATTATAACTACTGAACAATAATTGCGAAATATCTTTAAAATTCAAGTGATTGCTATATCTTTAAAATTCAAGTGATATCTTAAGCTGATAAAAGAGTGAAAGTCCTCTATCGAGCGATCTTACTTCCCAAACTCTATTTTTATACTTATTTTTCGTTACTTCCCAAAAGTTAATCTTTTTAATCCGTTATTATACAGGTTGATAAACTGAAGGATAAATTAAAGGCCGAAGGAACTCTGAACGAACGTAGGTAAGACGCATATTTGTCTTGTAAAGCAGAGAGATATTTTAAAGCTTAAAATACCAGAAAGCCTGAACTGAAATCTTGAAGTTTTTTTAAAAAGAGATCGAAGTACTAAAGTCTTGGATTATTAGCTTACTGTAAATTGTGTGCAAATTAGATATTTTTCACGTTTCAATGAACAGTTGACCAATGAACGGTTGAATTCTTAGATATTACTAGAGATGTTTCCAGAGAATAAAACATCTCGCTTGGTTTTCACACAAATCAAAATAATTCCTATATTTTTCTTTCCAGAGACGATGATGGTTCTGGTCTCAGCTTACGAGCTCTAAGAAGGAACATGCATGATTTCACAGTGAATATCCAGGTTAAAATCACTCTCAACGTATTTTTGTAATTAATACTGCTTCTGCTGGAACCATTATTTATTTTGATATAGCCTTAATTGGAAAGCTTTTTGGTAAAAGTATATAGTTTCAGATTTCAATTATGGTGATTCTAATATTCTTCATTGGCAACAGAAATGAGAAGAAATTCAAGCTTTTTATAATTCAAGATGCCCATTAAAGCACCGATTCTCGTGTTATTAATTCGAAGTCTGAAATTGCATGCTGTTTGGAAGATAGATTGCATATTGTGCTAACATGATCTAACATGTGCTAACAAATCCTCAATTCTCCCGAAGATAGAAGTTATTAATCTTTTGCAGAAGTTTTCTAGAGTTTTATTTCACACATAAAATAATTTTAAGGTTGAGTTGGAGAAAGAGAGGGCCGAGTTAATCACACGCTGCACTTTGGCAGAACAACAAGTTGCTGAATATGAAGATTATATGGACACTTACGTCAAAAGGTGAATCTTTGCTTGGCAAAACTCGTCTTTATTTGAAGCACTATCTTCTGTCAAAGTTTTTATGTTGATAAACAGCAGTTATAGTACGAAGATTGTGGCTTCGACCAGAAAACGTGGTTTCATCAAGTGTGGCCTAACATTCCGTACCATTGCCTTTTTTGGCAAAGGATCACTCGCTGGCACGCACGTGCGAAAATTCATTCTTAGCAATATACACATGGGACTGAAATGCGCATGGTTTTTCGTGCGCTTAAAGTCACTACAAGGCCTAATTTATTTGATGCAACTCTGTTCGATAATGTACTTTGTTTCTGAACAACGACAAAGGGCAGCAAACTGCCTTAAGCATATTTTGTTCTTTTAACAATGTAACAAAGTTTTGCCGAGACTTCCTTCATACTTGGATGCATGGTTCATGTCCACGCCTCTGGGAGGTACAGGCAATGATTGATGTAAAATGTTATATTAACATGTTTGCTTATGTTCAACAGAAACAACTCAACTGCTGTATATTTTTAGTATTGCTGATCGAAAGGTGTAATAAAACTTTAAACAAATGGCTATTGGCATGAAATCTGAATTGATTTTTCTTTTAATTGCAGGTATCAACAAGAAATAATAAGTTTAAGAAAAATGTTAGCAGAAAGTGGACGACTTCAAAGTGCTGATGGTGTCTTGGGGCTGGAGCACCGCCCTACGAGAATGCTTCCACCGCTACAGAATGACAGGCCATACAGACTTCAGCAAAGAAATTCCAGATATTAGTGAGACGTGTCTCAAGCATCTCTTTCTTCTACATTGCTATTCGCAAACGTGGCTAACTCTATATATTCTGAAGCAACTCAGTAGAGATAACTATTCCAAAGAAATATCGGAATCAACACTGTAATAGATAGCCTTGTTATTAAGATCTTAGGCTCATTTTAGTAAAGTTAAGTCATGCGTAGGTAGCTTTCTAAGCAGGTTATCAAACGGGATGCTTGCCTTGACTTGGGATGAGTTGCAGCAGTGGCAATAAAACACCCATGAAAAAGGAATAAGTGGCGTGAAAATGTCGAATATATGGTAACTTTGCTTGGTAGTTAAAACATTCGTTGCAAGCGAATGCTGTATTTTGAATGCTATCAATAGTAAAAAAAGCTTTGGTGCTTTATGTTTGAACGATTCTCGCACATATGATGTACCGTCAATCTATTTCCCTTGTTTCGTTGCTAGATTCTGTTTCAATGTTCTCTTCAACTTAATGATGAAAATAATCGAGCTAGCACAATTTTGCACGTTTGCCCCCTCTTGCCTCTCCCTAACTACGCTCTGGGGCCAAGGGTTTTACTTTTTATCGAAAGTAGCAACTCCTGGCATGTTACAACCAAAGGCAGACTCCTTAAAGACGATTAAGTATAAACAGAACTTTGCTTGTTTTCTAACTTTTGCACTTCGCATTTAAAGCAAGAGGTCATTGCCTCCGTTTTGAAAATATTTGAGAGACATTAATCTCCTTTGTATATTGTATATATTAGACCGTTGAAATTCATAGAAATTATCAGATTCTGTTCTCGTTTTCCTGCTTTGATTCTTTAAATATAAATAAATCCATGTGAGCTTGATTGAATTTACAGAAGCTGCTTCAATAGGCATCTTGAAAAGCTAGTAAAATGTTGTCTTTCGACATCAAAACGCAGTCAGATGCAAGTTAAATCCAAAAGACCAGGAACATTTCCCCTCAGTAAGATATAGTTTCAATTGAATGAACTTAATACCAACCAATCACCATCATGGAGAGACAAAGGTTAAGCACAGCTAGGCTGGAAATTGGTTAATTATAAAGGCACCTAAAAAGGACTAGAAAATGAATAAAGAATTACCAACAATGCTTAAAGAAGAATTTGGTCAAACAGCATTACGTAACGAACTGTTGGTAGTGGATGCAAAATGAAGTGGACTGGTCTTTTTGCAAAGATAACCAATTTGTATCTGGTTAACTGGTTAACTTCATGAGTCTTTTTTCAGTCTATTCATTAAGTAAAATTCAAAAGAGTATATTGTTATGACGTCAATAATTTAACACTATATCAATACCTTGTTGTAAATGATAGTGACTGAAAGATTTTATCTAATAAATGTGATTAAGTTTCCTGTTTAAACCCTTAAATATTTAATAATTCATATTTATATCATTTATATGTAACAGCAAATTTCCTTGTTATAAGAGGTGTACCAACTATTGGTCCATCAGTGTCTGTTTTCCATATGATTTCCCCATTCTCAGGTTTGAGAGCAAACAATGGTCCTGGTTTGTCCGCAGTCGCAACGTAAAGCATACCATTTTTTGAGAGGCGAGGGGATGAGAAGAAAGTCATCAATCCTAACTTTTTACTCCATATTTGTGCACCATTTTTCTGGGCCAAACTGAGGAGTAGGCCATCACCACCAGAGATGAAGACCTGGCCATCAGGGCCTAGTGTTGGGCTTGAAGTGACGTTAACAGAGACTGTAAATGAAAAAGGAATACCTAAACAACATGAAACCTAAACAACGCGAAAACAATGATTAATAAGTAGCTCAATAGCTTATGATACACATAAAATAATAACACAAGATTAAAAACTCTATTTCAGGGCCGAAGCCCCTTGTTAAAGATTTCATACATCTACGCGGTATTCGTTTATAAGGTTATTAAATCTTATCGCTAACTTGGTAATTAACGTCCATTGATAAGTAATACCAAAGTTTCCAGTTTGAGTTCCTCGGTTAATCTTTAGTAACGGGTAAAGGATGGCATGAGGTAGGAAAATGTGGAGTCTCAAACATAAAACTATTACGCATAAACATTCCTCCGTTATTCAATGCAACAATGCAAACATCTTTCCGCGATAATAATGAGCAAGGATCATTCACAGGTTATTCCACAATATTTGACTGAGTTTATTTTGACGAATCTGTACAAGTATCTTTATGGCTGATTCAATTGGCCTTATAATCCTGCAAATAATATGGCACCAAGATATAGCGGTGCTCCTTAAGTTGAGGGTCAGAGCATTGCAGTCAAATGCCAAACGCCTTCTAGCTTGGGATGTACTAGAATAAATCATAAAATATATTAAGATCGATTTGAAAAGCTACCAAATTATTCAACTCTACACCAAGAAATGAATTAGGCTGATAAGTAGGAATGAATTGATAGCTTGAATCGAGCTTAAAAACTAACCTTGTTTGCTCCATAAAAGTTTCCCTTTATGACCATCTACAACAGCAACTTCACCATCGTGCGTAGTAATAAACAGCCGGTTATTCCTTGTGAAGACAGGCGTCGACTCTATAGCACCAGCGAACTTCTTTCTCCATACAAGCTCCCCAGTCCACAGATCAAGTGCATATACAATGCCATATCCACTGCAAAAGACCACAATCGACTCGTCAGGACTGACAGAGGGGGAAGATATAAAACCTCCTTCTCCTTCAAACTTCCACTTTGCTTTTCCGGTATTTAAATCAACGGCGTAGACGTTATCCCCGTATTCTGCATACGAGGCAACAAAAACAAGGTCACCATGGCTGTTGGAAACAGGAGATGACCAAATAGATTCGGAGGTCTTGAATCGCCATCTTAGCGTCCCATTGGCATGCAGTGCGTAAAGGAACCGGTCGTGGGAGCCGACGACTATAGTGCCATCTTTTGTAACATGGCAGGATGACGTCACACTAGATCCAGTCTTGTGCTTCCAAGCCAAGGTCCCATTGCGAGTGTAAAGCGCACGAATGTAAGAATCATCTGCACCACAATAGATTATTTCCCCATTTAGGCTAAAATCGCAAGAAGATCCAGTTTCGTCTGCAGTTTCAGTCTTCCACATTATTTTCCCAGTTTGTGCATCGAAGGCGTAAATCCAGAAATCATCAGAGCTTAGGAAAATCGTTGGAACGTCCGGAGAAACTTCTTCAGAAAGCACGTTGCTGTAAACAAATGATTTGTCGCTATTGTTAGGCCCTTGATTGGGGTTCTTACTTGAACTGAGTACGTTATCTTGGTCTCCTCCGCTTTGCATCTCGAGATCCAATGTATTTTTCAAACCAGTTATGTATTCAATGTCATGTTGGTCGAATTCTATAAAGCTTAGAACAAGGTTGGTCGCAATATGATCAGGATTTGATGAGCGAGGTATTGCAATGACGTCATTTCCGATTGCCCATCGCAGAACAACACGTGGGACATCAGCATCGAATCTGTGAGCAATTCTTTTCAAGCCTTCATTTTCAATCACTGGATTGTATGACATTCCTTCTCTCACCCAGGATTCTCCCAGAGTACTACAAACAGGTTGAAATAATAAGGAAACATTTAATTTCATGATACTGCACATTTTATAAAGCTATTGCAGATTGCTGGAATTCTTTAATTAATGCTTAAAATATGAAAAAAGTCTTCAAGGATTATTTTGATTAATTGAGCCACTCCATAAAACTTAATTTCACCGTAGTCTTAAACCAATGTTGGTGTAAAAATCGTGTTTTAATTTTCATAAACTCAATACTGTTTGGATTACAAGCAACTATGCTCCTAATTTGCTTTCTGAAAAAATGAAGAACATTTTTTATCAATTAACTGTTCATCAGCAGTGTCTCGTCTCTTGAAAGGGAAATAATTAATTTTTTGTTAAAGAAATAGTGACTTCGAAATTCTTGCTAAAACTGTAATATAAAAATGGTTGTAGTAGGAAATGACAACAATTTAAAATGCTATAAACTTTCAGGTTGGAATCAATCAAACAAAGGTTATCTGTCATTATTTGTTTTACAAATCCATCAATTTTGGAACACAAAAACTGCGAAGAAACTTTAAAGATGACCCAACCCACCTATGGCCCATGTAGGCAACATCGTTTTTCTTGCACCATTCTCTGACAGCATCGTCCGTATTAAAAGGATCAAACCAATTTTGCACCACTGACAAATCTTCCTGTGTGATATTTCGCAACTTTATCAGATCGTCAACTTCGAAATTGCTGACGCCTATGCTTCGTATCTTCCCTGGAATTATCAAAAGAATCGATTTCAACATTGGCTGATTTGATTGACAGAAATATTACAAAAACAAATAAAAGGTTCGATGAAACTCTACAAGATTGTTAAAGCTAATAAAGAATTTGGATCCGGCCAACATGGAAATATAGTTATAGCATTATAGTTAAACGATACTGAAACAAAATATTCACCTTTTTTGACCATGAATTCTAATGCTCTCCATGTTTCGATCCAATCTCCTTTCGGCTCCCCTTTCCCACAAACCAACAGCGCACCTGGACCCTCATCACAATCCTTCGAATGGATTAACATCAGATCAACGTAATCCGTCTGCAGATTCGATAAACTTTCATCAATAGATTGAATTGTTGTGTCGAAACCCAAGTTTTTAGGATGAATCTTGGAAACTATAAAAACTTCACTTCGTTGCAATCCAGATGAACGCCACGCATAGCCGATAGCACTTTCATTATAAGCTTGCGCGGAATCAATTAGCCTGAAAAAAGGAGAGCGAGTTAAAAGAAAACGAAAGCGAGTTGAAAGAAAAAAGGAGGGCGAGTTAAAAGAAAACGAATAAAGATTTTACATAACTCCAAAAGAATCTCAAGTATGATTCTTATTTTCTGCTTTGGGTTAAAGTTATACACGAATAGCTTACTATGGGACTTCAAAGATCTAAATCTTAGCACTTTAACTTTCTTGCTCTGAATCCGCAACAAAAAACCAGACAAAAAGCAATGCCTTCAGCTCATTAACTCTAACTCTTGAGCCTAAACTCTCTTTCTTGACATAGCATTAAAAGTTTCAGATAATTAAATCACATGATTAAGGTACAAAATCGGATACCTTTTGATTCAGTGAACATATACATGCACCCCCATAACTACGGCACTGCTTGCATCTGGAAGTATTACGAACTCTTTATATCATAAACAAAAACATCTCAATGGTAAGAAATTCAGGTTACCTATAACCTTCCTTCAGTGCAATCTTCATCATTTCTTCAGTCTTTTCAAATAGCCCAGCAGTCCCAAAGCCAAGTATTGGCACTAGAAAGACATATATTAATGACACTTGCTTTCATAAAATTGATTTCATAATTTCTTTACTGCAAAACAAACCAATCTTTTTTAAATTTTGTTTCATTGTTCACTTCTTGTTTACTTCATGATACAGCTGGTCAAAATTAAGCTTTATAACATTTTTGAGCAGTGGAATGACAACTGTTTACTTCTACTCCGATTTGAAGCAATAATAATCTGCTTTCCCTTTAATATTTTCCTGCAATCGTGTTTAAAGAATGACTTTGACATTGCCCAATTGATGCAATTTTAGTCTTAATTGATTGATTGATTTGATTTAATTCAAATTCTACTACATTTCTAAAAAGTTAGTTAGTTATGTAAATTATAAACAAATCAACTAAAGAGCGCAACAACAACAATAACATTATTCAAAAGACAAAATAAAGCAAAATTTTTAAGAAGGAGCCTTCAAAGTAGGTTAACTAACGAGATAAAGACCCCCTTTTGTTTCAGCGATCTATATGTTCATCTATAATTATGTCTCGTTGAATTAAATTAAATTACTTTATGGACTAAACATAAAATTTTGCAAAGCTCACTGACTTAATGCAATCATAAAGTCATTTTGTCAACTAACAATGATGCTACATGACCTTCCTTCCAAATCAATGCATTCAATATAGTCTTAACAGTGTCATTGGACTTAAATCAAAATAATTTCTATGGGAAAGCCTTGGTATTTGAGGCATTGCAACACTTTAAATATCATTTACAGTTCACATAATGCATAAAAACCAGCTACAATGAACAGCAACACCAACCATCCTAAATGTCAAAAAGTGTCCCCTTAACCCTGCCCTAAAAACAGATTTTGTATGATAAACTGCATTACTTAGGTCCTAAACCAACTAAGGTTCTTGCAGACCTACCATATTGGCTCTAGTTGCATGATCTAAGTATCAAGTTAGAACTACCTATGTAGTGAAGCTTTATTTTTAACAAACAAAAGAAAACATTTATCTTTGGAAAATTAGATGCTTTTCATAAAGAAATAAAGAGCAATAGATTCAATAGAGAACAAAACATAAACTAGTCATAACCCTTTTTTTAAAAAAGACTTCAATATCCACAAAAATCTTTCTTAAAAATAGATAATTTAGTATCATCCTTCAAATAACTTTTTTTAATCACCTCTACCTATAATGGAAGACATTAAAAATGTATGAAAAAGGGAAAACACTAATTAATGACTAGCAAAAAATTAAGGCAACATTAGGGTCTAAAACAGAATACTAACTTTCATGGCCATTTTTAAGCTTTATTTTTTTCTGAGCAAAGTTTTCATCTTTAGGCGTATTCCATGTCTGCTCAAATGTTAAGAATTTTGAAATCGGTATATTCTGTGATCTGCATTCAATTGTTTCAGGGGCACTACTGACAGTTTTGGCAAACTGCTCTTCAAGCTTTGTGACATCTCTTATGCCTAGAATCTGCAAAGATAAATTGTTTTCATACATGTTATAAACAATATCAAAAAAATACATAGAAAAGAGAACATCATTGAGAAATAGCAACACATAAAAGTCAATGGGAAAAGCAAGTCAATTTTTATTTGAAGTCAAGAACTAGACAGAGTTCTGTAGTTTTGAATTTGTACAATGTTTTATAGCTTCTTTGTATAAAAAATCACAACATTGTTGAAAAACATTACATTACTACTAATTTTATTTTGTACTAGATCATAAATTCTTCTCCAAAAAACTGCCAATAATTTGGCGACATTAGAGAATGGCTTTTTATTCAATAATTTGCTATAGAGAGTTTTACAGACTAAAGAGACATTAATTTTACAATTTTTGTTGGCCTGTTAACCAAAGAAGTACAAAAATAAATTAAAAGTATCAAGATGCTGAATGGATAGTTCTTCAGTTGGTTTGGGTTAATCTAGGACTTAATGTTCTTAGACTCAAATGTTTGGAATTCAAAACTGGCTTAAACTACTTTGATAAAGATGGATTGTATTTTGAAGTTTTGACATCAAAAATAAAAAAACAAGGATTTGGGTGATGCAATGATAGAAAATGTAAACTGAAATGATATCCTGTTGTAATAAGATGTTATGAAGCTTTGCCAGTATCAAATGAGATTCACCTCCTCGTTATCACCAGGTTCTGTTGTATTTGCAAATAGATTAAACCAAATTGATACACCAATATTTGGAGAGCCATGAGATCTCACATGGTGCCACCAGTGCTTTGGAATATAAACAAGGTCTCCCGGATGTAATGTGATCTAAAACAAACAGGCAAAAAAAGAATAGACAGATAGCTAACTTTAACTTGTGAAACATTTTGGATACAATGCATCACATTATGTTCCAACCCTCCCGATATGACCGGGAGACTCCCAATTTCAGAGGTCCTCTCCCGACCTCCCGACAATTAAAAAATCCTCCGGATTTTTGAAAAAAACTTATAATAAAAATAAAAAGCTGGTATCAAATAAAGAAGAATCAAGATCACTGTCAACAGTGCAACCTTTTTATAACGGCAAAACGATTTGATGTATTTATAACGGCAAAAGCCAAATGCCAAACTGTGGAATTTTATTGCTCAATGCTCTTCGTAACAAATTCTTTTGATTGTCAAAAATTTCCTGAGATCAAGTGTATAAGTGGTGTTTTTAAACCTTTGCCCCCTGGACCCCTACCAGGGTGCTGCCCCGGACCCGTTGGGGGGCTCGGAGCGCTCCCCAGACCCCCAGCTCTAATTTTTTGCTCTCTCCGCTCGCGATGTCTCCCGCTTTTCCTTCTCTACAGGTTGGAAGGTATGGCATCAAATAATCATTATAAGATTGACTCACAAATTGCCCAGTTGGTTCCAGATCACTTACTGCTGGATTTTATTTCAATAAATTGAGTATAAGCCTGTCTTTCAACAAAAGTGTCAAATTTGCAGTTAACATGTAAATAGGAAAATGAATCATACTGGGGGCTGCAAGAATGATCAATAGCATAAATAATTTTGCCTTTAACCAAGATTTATCTCTTTGAAGTTTCTACAGTTTTCATATCAGATTTCTCCAATTTTTTTGTATCACAACAGGGCTGTCAGAAGTAGAGGCTGGCCATCCAATAATTTTCAAATTGTAACCATTTTCATAGCTACTTACTGAATGGAAGCAAAAGATGGCTTGATTGTCTCAACCTCTCCTATTTAAAACCACAACTGTTCTGACATCACTATATCAGACAGACACTCACTCTGATTTCCAGAGAAAGGGAAAGCAAAATAAATTTGCATCCATACCTTGAAAAATGGTATGTCTTTAAATAGGGGCCATTTATCAAAATCAACCGCTTCAGGACTAATTGGTGATAACCCTGGAAATGTATCAATATTGTCAGCATAAACTTCTCGCATGTATGTGTAATTAACCAATGTAACAACTTTTCTTCCTGAAATCATTGTTAATAAGTTCTCATAACCATCTTGGTGAAAACAAGAGCTTGTGTTGCCACTTGAAAAAAGCAAGTGAGCACTAGTAAAATTTGGTGAAAGCTCTGGGCATTGCATAAAAACTGGAACTTCAAGGTCATTCATCATCTCAGTTTGTGGGAATGGGGAATCAAGATAAACAGTACTATTTTTGTATATTCCTAGAAATTCACTCATATTCATTGTTTTTCTGGGATACAAATCATTCTTGTAAACCTTTCCTAGCTCAACATCCATTAACACGTGGCCATACTTCTCCTCTAGGTATTTTTCGTCTTGCCATTTCTTCACTGCCTCCCAATCTTTTGCAATCCCTCTAAAGACAACTGGATTTCTTTTCCTGATAAAATGAGCATAGAAATCTGCGCCCCCTATTGAATAATCAAGATTTAATAATCCATCTTCAATTGGTTGGCCATGATCTCCAAGTTTTTCCCATTTCCCATGTTGTTTGTTTTTCAACTTTAAATCTTCTGAGATGGTGTTTTCTACGGCATTACAACACGATAGAGACAAGAACACGACTATAATTGCAACTGGAAACGCACAGAGACTTGAAACAAAACTTTGGTTGTTCATCGCGACCACACGAAACAAATGGCCTAACACTGAACTGCTGAGTTACTTAGCCCGTTTATCTCCGAAAACATCTGCCTCATCCGCACAATATTCCGAATAACAAACATCTGCTCATTTGCTGATAAGCATACAACGTTAATTAATGTTACCTTTGTGTTTCCATCAATTCGTCTTATTTACTTCCTCCCCACACCGGTGGAAGCTTTTTTCAAGGGAAGTCGCCGCGGTTCGAGAGCGAGGCAGCCTCCCTCATGACTGCGAGACAAAAACAACTGTTTCTATTTACAAACTCTTTTGAAATCAAGGACCTAAAAAGGGGGGCTTGGAGGGTCTTTTTTCGCAGCACGAGTAAATTCTTTTATATCATTAAGAATGGCTACTGCTACACTAACTTATCAACGGTGGCTGGAACAAAAAGCCGCATCTCGGCCCTTGTCTGAAATGCTTACATAAAAACAGATGCTCAGACTTGCACTTGCAAAGAAGAATTGGCATGCATGCTTCTTATAAGAAAATTGATCATTTTGCACAGGTGACCAGTTCTTTTTGCTGTATTTCTCACAAAGACAAACAACAAGGCCGTGCTTTGCAAACACAGACCTGAGTGTTCTTTTGCGGTCAAAAAAGGCAAAGAAATGGTAAATTAACACTGGTTTACAATCACTTAAAGAACTTGAACGACTCATTAAGGATTTCATTCAAAGTAACTCAAGGCTGCTGAAAGCCAAATGTATTTGCACACGAGAAAGATATTAGAATCAACAATGACAAGAATAGGGAGGCAAGTGACTTCTCACTGTCAAATCATTCGATCAAGTTCAATCTCTAGCCAAATAGCCAAATAATCATTCTTAACTTAAATTATGCCTTCACTGGTGGAAGGGTTTTCATTATTTCACTTGTTCCAATCATTCCCTCAAAGGTCATGCACCCCGTCAGCCAACCAAAAGCTCCTGAATAGGTTCTGCGTGCGTTCATGATTTAGAAAACGTAGAGAAATAAGGTTGCCGATTGGATACGTGGCGATAGGGGTCTATTGTATAGTTCAACCAATGGAAATTTAGATGGCCATCAAAATCGTGACAGTGCCTTCCTAATCCCCACAGATTTCAAGAATCTACAGGATGCCTTTTTAATTAATCACCTATTGTTTAAAAACATATTTACCACGAAAAATCATGAATAGGGTTTATTTTTTAAAGGACATCGTCTTCAGAATCCGATACTGTTGTCCTCTATATAATATGTTAAAGTTGAATAAAATGTTGTCATTAGGCGAACAGATTTGAGGAAAAAGAGATACAAAGTTATTATTTGAACATTCATTGAACGAAAATAACATTATTATTATAATACTTTAGAATTGAAGGGTGAAATTATAAATCACATTTTTAAATCATCGAATGAGAGTAAATGAGAGTACTCTGTGGTGTATTTAATGGATTGATTCTACAAAATAATACAAATAGCGACAGAAATATAAATTATTTACTTAAAAAACGATATTCACAAATGACGCATCAAGCTACTTTAAAAGCCTCTCAAAACACAATAAGTTACAAAAATATACTAATCAACCTCACTCATGAGCAAAGTTTTGTTGTTATAAATTACCGTGAAGCTGAAAATGTGCAATTATGAATCTGTCAAAGCAGGCTTGCCTTCGATAAATTTATTTCTGAAGTGAAATATATTTCAAGGTATCTCTAGAATGGATTTAAGATGGCTTAATAGGTAGCTATCAAAGCTTTTGCATACGAGTGAAGTATTCATCTAGCACTGGGAAGGACTTATCTCAGTTGTAAGTCATATTTACCGTTTCTCTTTTGCCAATTTCGAGGGCCTAAAGCTTGAAGCACAATGCACATTGAAGGTCAAAGGAACTGATCAACGCCGAAAGGACAAAAGGGGAATTCGTATAGCAAAAATAGACAATCGAAAAGACAAAACGTTAAAAGCTTGCTGGGAATCGCAGTTTGCAATCTTCTAATTCCCAAGGGCTCGAATCCTTAAAAACAGCACCTGGAGAACAATCCTGTTGCCCGCATTTATTTAACTACAAATGAATCCACAGAAATTTTCGAGAAACATGAAACATTTAAAGGGTCTGGAGCAGATTGCCCTATCTAGGTTCACAGTCCAACTTTCTGACACCCTTCACAACTTAGGCTTGAGGCGACAGGACGCTCTTTTGCAGGCATACATGTGTTTTCACACAGGATTGTACTCTTGATGCTTGAATCGTATGAGTGCGAGTGTAATTAAAATAACGGAGGAGGGAGAAAAAGAAGAAGGGTAAGGACTTTTGTTTTACCCTCCTCTTTAAAGATTTTGAGGGTGAAATGGTTGACCTTTCAGAGGAGCAGAAAAATATACGACATGGTGCCTTAAAAAACGTAAACAACTTCTTATTAAAGTACAAACAATAACTACACAGAAACGTGTAAAAATGTAGAAAATAATGGATAGCCATTCTTTAACTGACGGGGACAGTCACGCTATAGGGCACATTTTTCAGCACTTGCGAGAAAATGTGATCCTGAATTAGTGGTCTATAGATGTAAGGTTAAAACCCGTGAATTCATGACAATATCAATTCACGAAAACATCGTTTGTCCTCTAGAATGAATGTCCCATTGGAAAAAGCAATATCTGTCTATACAAGACTAGAGAAATAGGAATAAATAACCTGCTAACAAAACTTGTCAACAACGAGTACTCGGCTGCAGACTTGAGAGGTTCCTTTAAATTAAGAGGCTTTTTGTTGCAATGTATATGAAAATAGGAGACGTCATTTGAATAACATTGCTAGTCTTTTCGCATTTTACTAGCAAATATTCAAGACATCGTAAAGCTGCAAGATATTTCTCGATATTGGACAACTGACATCGTAGATGTACCAGGCTGTTGTCCCTCACTTTTTGCTGAAGCATAATATTAATGGTGTAGCATCAAAGAAGAGGGTCGAAAAACTACCATTAGAAACTGACAATATGTCTAGAGTGTCTGAAGGCAGTAAAATGGCAAATTTCGAACGAGTTCAAGCACACACGCCTGTTTGTGGTGTTCTGCAGGTTGAATATGAGTGCGTTTTGGCGAAAATAGTTCCAAGATTTTTGATAGAAAAATCGATGGAATTAGCAAGGCAATACTATAACCGAAGTATAAGAAAATACTATAACTACTATTGGCGTCGGTGCAAATGTAGGAGTTGCTTAAAGCGAATCTTTTTTAATTTATCATAAACTAAATATCTAACAACGGCAAACCTCGGCCTCCGCGAACAATATCCAATCCAGTATTAGCTGCTGTACCCTAACGAGGTATTAGAAGCACCAAGAACAGGGGGTGATGGGGATCGCGAACTGTCTAGGATTCTTTTATTAATAGTCCTTTTTGAAGAGGCGACACAAACCGCGACATATTCTCGAGCATGCGTCATCTGAGCAACTGGGTACCATCTGTTTGACAGTGGATCATATCTGCAAACCAGATAATACTTTTATTACCAAAAAAAGTCATTCAAGATCATTCGCTGTTATTCAAAATGACATCACAAAATTCCTCCATACAATATCAACCAACTACATCATACCTGGTATTATCTATGCCAAAACTGGGTTTCACACTTCCCTCCCATTTTTTAATATTGCAGTTTAAATACTCATTAATTCTAAGATAGAGTTTCAGTCGTTAAAACACAATGGATATTTTACCTTGAAGTATTTCCGCGTCACCAGCCAAGCACAAAACACTTGCTTGGCTTCTACAAACGTTTGCAAGTCGTTTTTTGAGTCAATCTTTCTTTTTAGATACGTGATACTCTGTACGAGGTAGACCTTGACGATTTTTACAGTGAATAAGCTTTTTAACCAACATCCTTCAGGAAAGGGGAAGGGGGAGGGGGTGGGAGGGCAGAAGTGTGTCAGAGCTAAATCTTAGTAGTGGCTAGAAAAGCGGAGTCCCTGACAAAAGGACTTCCATGAAGGAAACGTTCTTTTATAAAAACCAGTAAATTGAAGTTCAGGCTGGCAGTTGCAACTTTTCGAAAATTGGAGACTGATCGTTCTTAATTTGTCTTTAAATAATTAGGGTGTAAGCAGGGTAATTGCTATCTAGTGAGCTCTAGGAGGGGAGGGGGGGGGTTAGGCTCCATTTGCCAACAAAATGAGTGAGACATCCTTTACTTGCAGACAAGTTTGAAAATTCAACAAAAAGCACCTCTAGATGCAAAAACTCCCCATTTTTGAGATGAGGGTCTCAAAACATTACTCAAAATTACATTTCAAAGTAGCTCAGCCTTAGCTTGTTCTTAACTTGCGACCAAATTTGAGGTTTTGTCCTTATAAATCTGTTCTTATAAAATGAGCGTAATACAATCGAAGATAAATCTTTGACAAAAACTGTCCACTTTATTGCTTGTCACTTCCGTTAAAAAAAGATACTTTGAAAGACAGCATGCATAAGATGGAAAAGACGAGGTTAAAGGAATTCCGTGGCGACTCATCAACGAGGTGTTCTTAGACCAGGCATATCAACTACACCGTGAAAGTTAACAACTCTTTACTGAATTTGACACAAGCTCAAAAAGGATTGAATCATTTAATCACATCAACCAAAACGTATTCAGCAGCATGAATTCCGATATCAAACAGAAAGGAAAATAACACGCACATTTATGAATGAGAAAGTCTTATGAGATGGGTCAAATGTCTCTGTGATTCAGAAAGAAAGCTTTATAATACATCTGCAAAGGGGCTCCTGGTTTTTGCATGGAAACAGAACCATTAAATTATGTACAATTGCATAACAGAACCAATCAAATCGGAAGTTAAAGGCATTTGTTGCACATATAAAAATTTGTTGCAAGAAATATTGTGAAAAAAGACGAGGGGCTTAAAATTAAATTTTTGCTACGACATAAAATTTATAATCTCCTGATTAAATTTAATGAACAAAAGAATCTGAAATGTGTTTCTATGAAAAGGTACTTCCTTGTCCTTGAAACAGAGAAAACATTTGTCGAAAGGTACCTTTCCATAACTGGAAAGAAAAAATACAGGAAAGAAGCCCACCTTTCTACTGTGTTGAGACATTTTGTGCCGTCATATCCTCCAACAACGTAAAGATAACCATCTAGAACCCCAGCCCCACAGCCGGCTCTAGCCGTCAGCAGCGGTGCCATTTCTACCCACTGATCAAGGCTGGGGTCATACCGCTCAACGGACGTCGTTTTGAAGTTCTGATCATTGCCGCCAATTGCATAAATATAGTTGCCAAGGGAAACGCACACGACGTGTTTTCTAGACAAAATGAACCAATATCAACAAGTGCAAAGTTTTGCTGGGATTAACCAGTACTATCACATTTTACATATACAATAAAATTATTGCGATTATGATTAGATTTAGAGTACGGTCTTTGGCCTGGGGGTGATGATGTTATTAAACCTTTTCATAATTAATGAATCTCGACAAAATATGCAAAAATATATCAAAAATTTTTAATCAGAATGGATATAAAGGAATATATCCTGTTCATATTATCAATGATATTCAGCCTTGTTTTTCCTTGGATAATCAAACTCAAAAGTTCAGCTAAAATTAGCCATGTAAGTTCATGATTTTTAAAGCCTATAGTTCATTACAATTCAGAGAGTCTGATGTTTAAACTAAGTACATTATAACAATATATAATTGTTGTAATAAAACTTCACAGAACCGATCCCGAATAACTGACAATATATGAATATGACGGTATGATATTAAGGGCTAGTTTAATTGTTTGAATAGGTTTTGCTTGTCCAGCCCAAAATTGATACAAGAAGAAAAATTTAATTTTTTCTTGTTGTCGAAACGTTACATCTTAAGAAGTAAAATATTGAAACTTAATTTTACATCACTAGTTTCCACACCTTGGATAGTTCATTGGGGCGATGTCAATCCACTGGTTCGTCATGTGATCAAATCTTTCTGCTGTCTTTAGTGGTGACCCATCTGATCCTCCGACGGCGTAGATATTGTCATTCCAGACACAACAGCCGACACCAAATCGACAATAATTCATCTTAGGCATTTCAGTCCATTTGCATACCTTGGGATCGAAATATTCCGCAGTTTGCAAAGGTCGCGACCCGTCAAAACCACCTGGAAATATGCATCAAGGTTAAATTTTCATCAGGTGTTATGTCGCAATAAAAAAAAATCTTGAATATTTGAAAGCTTATTAAGGTGTCTATTCTATACACAAATCATTATTCAAGTTGCTTATCTAAAGATTTAAAAATACGTTTATCTGGTGTTGAAGAGTGCAAAAAAATTGGCAATAACACACAATATTTGTCCTGCAGTATCAGCCATTTTTGTCTTGTTGCAACACACAGCATCAGCACAGTTCAATTCAATTCAATTTTATTCCTACATCACAGAAGAATACTACATTATTACTGTAATATACACAACTCAACGAAAAGTATGTACTTATCTAGCTTGGGACGTTAGCAAAAATTATAATTAAATACATAACAGCAATAAAAAATAACAGAAACAAGGTTGGTTAAATACTCTATCAACTTAATAAACAGTCCACACGAGCTATTAAACGTTAAAAAATCCATTCTTTGATGGTTTCTTTCAAATGAGAGAAATTCACTCTCCCCATCCATAATTCTTAGTATTCCTAAATTTAACATGGATACAAAATTGAAAGGCCGGACCCCTTTAAACGAAATCTGATTCCCGAAGACTCTGCATCTGCTTGAATACCGTTGACAGGACAAGAACGTAATGAGTTCAGGCAGAAGAGGAAAAGTCAACCATGAAAGGAAATTCTGTATTTTGAATTTTAATGTAGCAAGTTTTGGAATGAAAGAAAGAAGTGAGAATAGTATCGAGAGGAGTTTTTACGATAACCTGTATAACCTGTTTTTACGATTACAAGTATAACCTGTTCGAAAGCAGAAGGCCTAAAAAATTTTGGAAAGGTCGTTTTGTGAATCAAGTCACACTTTTGAAAACATTGGTTCTCCAAATTCCTACGATTCAATCTCATTGTATTGCAAGTTAACGTTCATGAAATGGATAAACAGCTCACCAACTGCGTAGATACGCCCATGTCCTGCAGCGACTCCCACTCCATTCCTATTGGTTGTCATTGCAGGCACAGGGATCCAAACGTTATTGAAAGGATCGTATTTTTCAACTGTATTTAGCCTCGATTGGTCGTCACTTCCCCCGCAGATGTACAAATAAGGTCCCAGGGCAGCAACGTCCGCACCCCATCGTCTAACATTCATGTCAGCTGCAAATTAAGAAGACAGGATAAGTTTTTGTACATCTTTCAGAGGTTTATTCAAAAGGTAAAGGTCAATCCCGTATACGATCTGTAAGCGGGGGATGTGCCTGTTAGAGTGGATGCTTGACCTCGGCAAGCAGTAGGTTGGTGAAGTTAGCTGAGACAAGCAGACAAACTAGCGTTGAGCCTTGATACGAACCAGGAACCTTCAATATTGTCAGGACAAGGTTTCCTAGCCTACAAAAATCGAAAAAGATTCTAGAAGGGCAGAGGTGACTGAGTTGGACATTGAGAAAGTTGAAGAAAGGGCAGCAAAGGAACGGGTAAGAAAATCACATCAAAATAAAGTTGGAGATGCTCGGAGAAGACCAAAAAGATTGCCGAAAAGATTCAAACTGTGTGCCATGTTTTCGATAAAGCGAAACGCTCAGAACAAGTCATACCTATGGGTTTCCACTTTCCTTCTTTCGGGTCGTATCTCTCACCGCTTTTCAATTTTTCTCTTCGACTCATTCCTCCTATTGCATACAAGATTTGCTGGACAGCTGCGGGTTTACGCGGTGTTTCCCTCGGGCTCTGCGTTAGAGTTCTTCCACGAGGCGGTAAAAACAGCAGTTTGGCAGCTTCGATTAGCAGTTTGCTACAGAAAGAAAATAAAAGGATTATTGAGAATAAATAAGTGCAGATTTCCAATTATACATTAATCAGGCCCATATCTTCGATATATTTGGACAAACATTACAGAACTTGAGAATGGCGTTGGGAAAACAGATGACAACTTCCACGCGAATGATAAAGCATAGCCAACTATGTACGAGCAAAAAGCATATGAAAATATTTCTTCTTACTAGCAAGATTCATTTTCTCTCATTATGTCTTCTGGAGCGACCCTTTCCAAAAGGAATTCTGCGCTCAGTAGTGGAAATCTAACATGCTCGAACAATTCTGAAACGAATTCCTGCAAGTAGAAAAAAAGTCTTACAGATACATGTATGTAAAAACTGCACAACCGAGAAAACGCAAGAGATAATGAGACAAAAACGGAAGTCTCTTTGGTGGTGTTAGAAATATAGTGAGACACAAGTGTGAGTCACAAGTGAAAGTGTTAGAAATAAAAAAGGCCGCAATTGGCAGAAGAATTCAGAAAATTGTGGTGTTTTTAGTGTAGAGAGAAATTTTCTGCCCATGTTTTTGCGAGAAAATAAATTTACAAGTGTCAAAAACCATAGGCTGTCTTTTATGAGCTATAATTCTGCCTTTTTTATAGTACCCACTTGCAATATTGCAAGAAAATCAGCCAAAAAATCCAAATTGACAAAAAGACAGACATCTACAGAATGACGTAGCATCAGATTTGACTCAAGATTTTCCGAGTTGCAATGGCATTGCATATAAACTCATATGGCATAAAATGTGCCTTCTTTTGTACGAATATTCCCACGTCCCTTTCAATTAATCGCAACTTTGAGATAAAATTTCAAGCAATCTTAAAGGTGCATACTTCTCTATTAGTTGTATCATATTTAACCCAAGCAAGAACTGCTTCAAACACGCGTTCCTCAGAGTGAACATTTAAACCGTCGTCTGCGATTAATCGTAGAAGTTGTGATTGCGAAATCATCATGAACTCTTCGGTTTGCACGACGTCAGAGAAATGACTTCTAGCAAATGAATCTGCCGATGAAGCTAGCTCGATGCACGAATGAGCATCCGCGAAAGCGGCTATGCCTGTGTTGAACAAAAGAAAACAATCAATACTATTTCTCAAGAGCAAGCAACCATCATCGAAGACTGGACATTTGAAAACTATGATGGCTTCGGTCAGTTTTAGCATCCAATTTGATCGATTTTTTCATTTTGTGCCTCCATTTCAAAGGTTCTCTCTTAAATGATCATAAGCGAAAAATTTATTAGTTCTTTCACATTTCTACTCATTTGCTACGAATTTCGCACCATATTGTGCCTATTCAACATGATTTACACAAAGGACATCTTTATCCAACATAACACAACGAGAATACTTCTTTCGCTCTACCATGTACGCATAATTTATAACTGAAGAGTCTTGGCTCTAATCTCCTTACCAAATTGATAATGCGAAACAGTTTTCAATCAAAGTTTTAGGCAGTAATCGTATTCTCTTTATACTTAATAGCAAATAGCATACAGCAAAAGAAGGTATTCATTTTGTAGGCAACATGGCATAAAGCGCGCATTTTCAGGCAATATCTAGCATCCAGAGGCAGCAACGAGGAGAGAGAGAGTGAGAGAGTGAGAGAGTGAGAGAGTGAGATAGAGAGAGAGAGAGAGAGATAGAGAGAGAGAGAGAGAGAGAGAGAGAGAGAGGGGGGGAGAGAGAGAGAGAGAGAGAGAGAGAGAGAGAGAAGGAGGAGATGAGAGAGAGAAGAGAGAGAGAGAGAGAGAGAGAGAGGGGGGAGAGGAGAGAGAGGGGGAGAGAGAAGAGAGGGGAGAGAGAGAGAAGGGGAGAGAGAGAGAGAGAGAGAGAGAGAGAGAGAGAGAGAGAGAGAGAGAGAGAGAGAGTTCTAGCATCTGCAAGTCAAGTCAAGTCATGTCAAGTCAGCATTCAACACGAGCGAAAATGGAAATAAAACATACCTAAACAATTATTTGTATTAATTTGTCTCTTCATGAATTCACAACAAGCCTCCTGGATTCGCCGTAACTGCAATAATCCTGATATTGATATCAAATCTTGAACATTTATATCATTTATTTCAATTCTGCCAGTGTAAAAATAGTCTATAATATTTTTGAATACAATTTCGTCCATGTCCTGGAAGACTATTTCGCCTTGTTTACTTTCCATCAAGCCATCTAAAAATTAAAAAAATCATCATTTGACTGCATAAACAGGAAAATTATTGAAATAATCACTAGTACCCTGGCTTGTATAGCTGCAGGGTTGTCGGGTTTGAGAGATCTTAAAAGCGCTACCGGTCGGGTACGAGGTCGGTGCATCCCGTCCTATATATCAGTGTGAAAGTCGTTGTGAATGAATTGCAGGAAAGCCGCGGTACTTTCAAGGAAGGATAATACCAAAGATTAAAAAGAATGACCTTCCTTTTTTCCTTTTCATTCATATGTTCAGAGAAGCATGGGAATTTTTACGAAAAGCCATTTGTGCATCTGAATTCGAGTTCAAAGATTAAAGATCTCAGACAATTTAGCAAAACAGCAATTTGGCTATCTGGCATAAAATGGTTTACATTATTAGATATTTACGTGAGGATGATAGGGCCTAAGAACTTCAATTCTTTAATGACTTCTGCCAAATAATACTCTTTATAAATAAAGTATTTTATATGCCACTTGTGAGGACTTTGTTTGCAGAGACGCCGTTAATGGCAATAATTCTAACAGCTTCACTTGCATTCCTAACAGATGAATAAAAAAACTAATCGATATGAGAACCGAAAAAAAGCAAGGACCTTCTTCAAATTTAATTTATTTTAAACATTTTATTTCGTGACATTGGATTCTCGTCATCGTATTGCTTTGTTCCTGTATATCTTTCAACTGTAGTTAAGTTTAGCTTTTATTTATTAATTGAAATATTGCTTATAATAAGATATAAATTTAACATGCAACAAAAAAGCAACTGTTTATAGTTTAGTTAATTTTAAGTTTTCCCGAGTTGAAAGAATTTAAAACAGTATTTTGTTTACATTATCAAAATATTTTTCTTTGGCAAATTAAACATAAAGGTCAAGACAGCTTTCTCAATTCACGGAGCCAATTTTTAGTCATTCCATACATTTTTGAAATTCAACTTTCTCTCAATCGGAGATTCATTTTGATTCGCAGGTTGCAGAATTGCTACGAATGTACAAATACATCAAAGGTCAACAAAGAAACATACAAATTTTAAGGAAAGACGGGCCCCATTGAGGAGTAAAGTCGCAAGCATCTTATATCCGGATCGTATCTAGGTCGCTTAAACAGTTTACTGAAGGAATAAATGAGCTCCTCTGTATGGGAAGTGATGAAATGCTTAGGCATGGCATTCAAAACGTACCAACTACACTGTATAGGAATTTCCAATAAAATCGGCAAACAATCTTCAATAATGCGCTGATAAAACCTAGACGCCCTTGGCGAGGACCTTGCTTCTAACTTTCACTGTTACAAGACAGGAACCTATCCCTTTTCACATTACGTAATATTCATTATGTCAATACCTATGGAGAAGCAATGAAGAAAACGCTGCGAAAAGAAGAGTGGTTAACATTGAGTTAAGAAAGATATGGCTGCCTAATATCAAAACACAAGAATGTATCATATATTTATTATCATGTCATGATCTATAGTTAATCTTTGGAAGAAAAATGCAGTCTACAAATCATAGATGTTGCTAAAATTGAAAATAATTGTCACGAGGGCAGTAAATCAGTCCCTCTTCCTCCATACAACATCTGCCACTATTTTTTCATGTTTTTAAAACATCTTTCGACGTTTTCAACGAGCAAACTTTCAACGTGTGTTTATTGATTTAATAATTTCCACATCCTATTTAGGTCAGGCAGGCCCTTGTTAAGCAACATCTCAAAAAGAAAATTCACTGTGGTTTCACCCTTTAAGATCCAGTTTCCATTCATTTCTGAGACCGTTAAAACATTCCATGGGTACTTGGGATGCATCACATGACATCTACTGAAGCGGGTGACAGCCTGAGAGGTGCTTTAAAGGGATCTGGGGAACAGGATGCCGGTTGACACTGACTTACATTATCAATACAGATGAATGAGAGAAGTGACTATATGGATTATTCTTTGAAAAGAATTGAGACTTACTGGGAATTATTTAACCTAACCTAACGGACATAATATTAATCTGCGTCTAAATTTTGATGTTTTCGTGAAGGATGCCTTGTATTATATTACAGGAAATCCAGTCTGCTCTCTGGATACGGTTTTTGTTAAGAAATAAAATCAAAGAGTCCTTTGTTATCAAGTGGGTGGAAAGTGGGCAATTTGAAGAGACAGTTTTCGCCTGCTGTGCAGAAAATCATGTTTTAGGTATTTCAATCTAAGGAATGACAAACATTCCTAATAAATGGAGCTTAAAGTTCAGGCAAAGATAAATTTACATATTCATGAAAGAATGACTTTCCATTTCAGTTTTACCTATTTTTGACCCAAGAATTGAGGACAGCTTGAAAAGTCTCTAGCTCCGTGGGTGAGGGATGGAACAAAGTAATAGATATAGACTAAGGAAATGGGAGGCCACGATTTTGTGTGGCTATAAGAATTGCTGTTAGGTGTCACAGACCCAAGGATTGCAGAAAAGATATATTTTCCCTAGCGTTCGAGATTTAGTTGGACTTTTATTCTCAGAACTAACAGAAAACATCTAACGCGGTGATCAATGATATGCATACCACGTTACGTTAAGAAGAAAACGATTCAAAGTAGCAGGCTATAATTAGTAAAGAAAGAGCATTCCATTCAGCATCTAGCATTTCGTTCCATTTCAAATCAGCTTGAGCAAGTTTGGGAAGAGGACCTCAAAACAACAAAAACTACTTGTCTTATTTCTGTTCGTCCATGGAAATCTTACTGAACACAAAATGCTGATATGGGCGTGGTCGACTCTCGCGGGTGTACAAGAAGAAATCATTTTGCCACTTACTTGTAAACATTGCTCTGAAATATGGACTGCTTCCTGCTAAAACGACGCGGTGCGCCAAAACTCGGGATGCACCAATGCAAAGTGTGACGTCACACAATTCATCTTGCTCCCTGAGCGAGCAGAAAACAGCGAGCAGTTCCTTGTTATGCGCGGCATCGCAGAAGCTAACTGACGATTGCCGGTTGTCGTCTATTGGTTTCAACGCTGACGTAATATTGGATTGGGCCATGCTGCAAGAAACGACATGAAATAACTTAATGGTTTTGTGAGATCTATCATGGGCGATTCAGTTACAGGCGATGTAAGTGCAATCTTGTCTGAAAATGTTCAGCCATGGAAATAAGTATTCAAAAGAGTGGGTGAGCAAACGAAATCTGATTGGTTAAAATACTTTGTCGATCATGTTGTTCATCATGTGATAATTCATGCGATCTTCCAATTCATGCGTTCAAATAAGAAAAAAATCACGATCATAACCGTGTTATTGGCATTTTGTGCTAACTAGCCTATGTGACATACGTACCTGTGGCCTATAAAATGTCTGTTGTACCAAAAAATTAAAAATCAATCCCACTTTAGCAATTCATCAAAAATTAAAACGGGCAGACGCATATCTATAAAGGGTTGTTGCCAGGCAACGCACAGCCATCAGGCTAGCAGGGTCTATAGCCCCACCATTTTTTGCAATAATTGATTAGAAAACTCTTTGGAAGGTTTACTCTAACGCAACTTTGCATAGTTTACTATGAGCTGTTACCCGAACAGGTATGTACTAACAGTTTTTCTTGAATGGAAACCTTTTTGTTCATTTTCTAGGTGTTTTATCTTGTCTAATGATATAATGTATTTTCTAACTTGACTAGCTTGGTGTTTTGTTCCCTCAAGCTAATTTTATCTATTTTCATAGCTACTGATATTTCATCTGAACCAGACTGTTTATACAAATTGAGTAGAAATAAGCAAGTATTTTCTAAAAGGGGCGTTTTCCGGCGTTCTAGAAGGCGTGGTCTCAAAAAATTATTGTGCACACCCATTTCAGCCCCTTCACTTTTAAACTGGTGCGCGGTCCCTGGTTGTTGCACAATAAAATAAAATTAGTTATCAAAATGGTTAGTAGGTAAAGTTGCCTGGAGGTAGGCGAATTCTCTATGTATGTCTTCGTCGAAACGATTTATTTTGCAACCACTTTCAACAACCCCTCCAAGTTATGGAGGTATACCCTTGGTGAAAAGGTGTTTTGGATGTGTATCCAATTTAGCAGATATTAGCAGCCACAACGGAAAAGGGAAATTCGTTATCTAACAAAAAACATTTTAATTAAGCAACTTCCTTGATTTATCAAATTTTCTCTATAAATAGTTCATTAAGATGTTATCTACCAAAACTCTCTGATAGTTTCCTGCAAAGAAGGAAGTAATGGACTGAAAGATACGAGAGCTGTTGCTTCAGGCAGCTCCAAGAGAATTATGGGGCCCTTACGTCACTTTCATATCGCTACATCCCTTATGCCCCTTGTTTCTTTGCAGCATCATTCGGGAACTCAAATAGAAATAATATTCAATCGTAAAAAAAAAGAAAAACAGAAAAATTGATCAAACAAAAATGCTACAGTTTTAACATCGTGGAATAGAATCCCAAACGAAGTTTTCGACTGAAGGCGAATTTGAGCATAAAATTAAAACCTGAAGACAGAAGTGCTAAAAATGGCAAAATGTAACACTGATTAAGGTTGATTTTTCACTTTGCTTGCATGTCCCTTTAAGCCGAAATCGTGAAGTAGATATTGAAGATTAACGGAAAGTTATGAAATATTGGCTAACTTTGGCGAAAAATCTTGAAACACGATCGACGTCTTCGTAACTGCTGCCTGAATCGGGCAACATAGATTGTTATACATCTCTTCTGCGATAGAACTTCATCAAACCCAAGATAACAACAAACTATTAAACAAAACATGGCAATAAACCAATCTAGCACATATTTAACTTAAAGTAACAGAGTTTTGCGAGCATATCGCTTTCAAAAAGATATGCAAATTATCACAGAAGGAAAAACATTTCGGGTGAAAAATCAGTACAAATGACAGATAAACACCCAGTATTTCTGATTTACACAAAAAACGTTTTCTTGCATACGAAAGCATACGTACAAAAATAATGACTGTTTGCATTAATCGACTGACTAATTGAAAACCTGTTTTAAGGCTGTTAGTAGAATTGTTACAAAACGTTCTTTAAGGTATCCAGCTTTTAATTCTAAACAGACATGGGGTATCATTTCCTCATCTGCTGAGTCCATTTTCTTTTAGTTAGTAAATTTAGACGAAAAGGAAACGATGAAGAATCAGGCATGCGAGGTGCCATTTAGTTTGGGCTTTTGATAGGAAACGCCATAGTTTTTAACACAGCTCTCGATAGTCTTCTTAAATGAAAAAACAAAGAGGAATAGACGAGTCATGAGAAAAGAGAACAAAGCCGTGATAGGGAGCCTTTTTCGTAGAACAAGTTGGATGTCGATTTAAACTTGTTTACCTTAACATCGCAACGGCACCACGCCAGTGGGAGAAGAGGAAAAGAATCTGAGAAAACTGACAGTGAAATGTTTTTATCTACTTCAAAATGGCAGTAGTCTGATGAATAGATGCTTGATAAGGTAGTAGAGGCTGGCTAAGGTAGTAGATTGATAAGGTGGAAGTATGCAGTCAGCTGCAGATGATAATAGGCAAACAATGTATTTTAAACTGATTGAAATGCCATTACCACTTTATGTTCGTCGTTTTAAACGAATTGTCATGCTAACTATGCTCAGCTAAAAACTTAAATACCGTCAAAAAGAAAAAAATCAAAACGACACTAATGAAGATAGTATGCGTTCTGCTTCTGCGATCGTTTTGAAAGGTATTATTTGTAATGTTTCTGCGAACGATTTTTAACTGTTTTGCCTCTTGAGTCGAACCGAGGTAAAAGATTTTCTACAGCTAGACACATTCAACAGAACTGGATGTTCAACGGCTCAGTTACGTCATGTATTTCTCTATAAGCAGTAGTGAACTCGCGCACACTGCAGAGCCCACAGGGGGCCGAGGAGCCAGCTCAGAAAATCGTGATGGTTCCAAGTATGCAAAGGAACTCCAAGTCACTCTTTTCCGTGTAAACAGGAGCATGTTGTAGCTTAACGACAGAGGACAGTAAAAAAGATGATTGCTTTCCTAAAAAGCAACGAATGAAAGCAAAATGATATATTACTTAAAAGTGCTAGTTACTGGGAGAATAGGTTGTGTTCCATTATGAACCACATTTTCTTTGGGCTTTTAAAGAAAACAATAAAACCAGCGGAAAATGATACTCAACAGTGCTCATACTTTGAAAAAAAGAAATCTTAATCGTTACTGCTGACCGTACTGATTCCTAAAGCTATTTTCCACAGAGAAAGAGAGGGGGTGGGGGCTGTTATGGTCACTTCATTTGCTTTTTAGCTCATTTAGTGTGACGCTATATTTCCCAGACGAAGGAGGAGGGGTTACACAGAAATGTCATTTGATTTTGAAAGCAAAATACCTAAATGGATGTTCCTCTTGAACAGCTTGGAAGGACAGACGTAGGTGAATTTAACGAGGTTACGACGTGATTTCTTCAATAACATGTAAAAGGATCAACGGGGATTGTGTGCTGTTTTTTCGACAGCGGCTCTTATGTGCGAGGGTTTTGAAAATCCTAATAAACTCAGGAAACGATACAGAAAATCCAATAATGACAGCTACAAGATGAGACCAAGAATCCAGAACGGAAAGCTTGGAAAAGCTCAGCAAGGACAAATCTTTGAGAAAATATGAGGTAGGAAATGGCTTAGCCGTTAATTTCAAGACTACGTTGGAAAATGCAAGAATAAGACCAAACATCGGCCTGATATTTTACAATATCTTCAATCAAGTACGCAGTTGAGATGCTAAATAATAGAAGAAAAATACAACAAAATACTTTGCAAAGAAAATGAGCACGTTTGGGGAGATATGCATTCTTGAGCAAGAGGTTGGCAAAAATCGTAAATACAAAAATATCTACAAGCAAAGTTTTGATGATAACGAAAATGATGTTGTACTTTCAGTCTATGAAACAGGCCCAAAAATTTACGTAGACGAAAAGCAAAATATCACGGAGAGTTTATCACGGACCCAGAATACTTATAGGTTTCAGGTATATCCAATAATTTGGATCGCATTGTTTTCGGTCTTTTAAAGATTCACCCGTAGAAGCACTCTTCGAGCCAGTTTCTCCTCAGTATGTTTTATTGAAAGTTCGAAGCAAAACTAACGAAGAGAAACAAAACAAACCTAATTTTTAATCAGCTCTTTAGAGATACAGAGAGTTAATAGAGGAACGGTTGGCTGAGTTCCAGGATCAATCTTTGCAGAACTTGGGACAGGAGCACAAATTGCAATAACAACAAAGAAAGGCCCCTTTGGGCAAAATAGCAAAAAAGATCCTATGGAAATGATTTATTGCTTTTATGTGGCAAAGAAATAACCATGGGCAATAATTACTCCATCAAAGCAGAAACAAATGTTGGCCGATAGGAAAAGGCTTTCAGATATTTATTACAGGGTGGGAAAGAACGAGTGTACCGAGAATTCTAGTGCACCATATTTTCGCATACTGCTAGTTTCCATTGACGGAATCATCCCCCTGTATCCGGTCTTAGAGCAAGCGCAGCAGCTTTTCAATATAAGTGCGCATGCTCTTTGATTGCACACAGGGGGAGGATGACTCAGGTAGTGGCAGGCTGACCAGTGAACGCCTCCTTGGCAAGAAAGAAGTAGTTTTTTGGAAACGCAAACTATTCTTACATTAAGGCTACGTCGTACTTTTCTGGGCCTCCGTTCTTTCAAGATTGCTTCGATTCGTTTCCAGTTAGTGTATAAGGAAATAGAGAGGTAAAATGTGCCTCATTATCAAGTGGATTCAATTCGGTTTTGTAACATTAACGAAGAAAGGACCTTCAAAAATAATTATTAGAACTAATATCTTGCTTCATAATTCATTATCAATACAGCTGAAGGAAGGTATAATTGACGGAAAAGAGCGAGCCAAGGCGGCAACACTAACGAATTCTTTTACCTAAGAAACGATTGTCGATGCAATTCTGCGTAGCCAAAGCCCGGAGGCTGCTATGGTGAACAAAGACATCGTTTTCCAAATGTATTACATTCCCATTAGATTCAATATGTATCGTG